CGCCCCCCTTTCCCTGTGCATTCCAACATTTAGAATATAAGTATCACAAGGCTACAATAAATTTATATATCTTCACATTTAACCTTCTTAACAGGGTGTATCAATATGGTGCAGTTTACAGGGTGATGCAATATGGTGCAGTTTACAGGGTGTAGTTTACAGGGTGATGCAATATGGTGCAGTTTACAGGGTGTAGCAATATGGTGCAGTTTACAGGGTGTAGTTTACAGGGTGCAGTTTACAGGGTGTAGTTTACAGGGTGCAGTTTACAAGGTGTAGTTTACAGGGTGTTGTTTACAGGGTGCAGTTTACAGGGTGCAGTTTACAGGGTGTACTTTACAGGGTGTAGTTTACAGGGTGTAGTTTACAGGGTGCAGTTTACAGGGTGTACTTTACAGGGAGCAGGTTACAGGGTGCAGTTTACAGGGTGCAGTTTACAGGGTGTAGTTTACAGGGTGTAGTTTACAGGGTGTAGTTTACAGGGAGCAGTTTACAGGGTGTACTTTACAGGGTATAGGTTACAGGGTACAGTTTACAGGGTGTAGTTTACAGGGTGCAGTTTACAGGGTGTAGTTTACAGGGTGCATTTTACAAGGTGTAGTTTACAGGGTGTTGTTTACAGGGTGCCGTTTACAGGATGCAGTTTACAGGGTGAAGTTTACTGGGGGAAGTTTACAGTGTGTAGTACAGTTAGCGATGGGCAATAGCTAGATTCGTTTTACAGAAACTTTTAATATTTTTAGGCGTTCAAAAGATTTTACGACAATCTGAGAAGGGACCAACGATTTAAAATTGCATTTTGCAGAAGTTTGCTTTTATCAAACATGCAAATTAGTTATCCTAATCTTTGTTTTAAAACGATCCTTTTTGTTTTCTATTTTCTTTTAGAGTAACAACTTATGCATTTTTGATCTAAGAAACTTTTACAGAATAAAGTTTTAAAATGTTGGAACCTTTTCATATTTTCTTAAAATATTTTAAGAGTCTAAAAAAATTCAAAGTTACTGTAAAACGAATCTTGTCATTGACCATCTCTATATATATATGGTATATATAAATGCAGTTTACAGGATGAATCTACAGGGAAACCAGGACAAAATCCGAATCCATACAGCTATATTAGTAAAGTGTGCTAGAGTTTTTTCCGCTTAAAATCTATGATTTTATTCTTCAATATTTGGAAATTTTGAACTTTGTGATTGTAACGAACTGCAAGTTGGTCTGATGATATTATATGTTGCCTTGTTTTTTTAGCAAAAGAAACAAATATACTTTTAAATGTAATGTTTTCTAATCTAAACATTGAAGGGTAAAGTATCTTGAAAACAAATCTATTTTCCTGTTTGCAGAAACACAGTAATTTAGATTATTTTTGCAATGGACAAATCGGTAAATTAAATCTGTTTTGCACAGAAACTAGAGCAAATTAAAAAAAAATTTACTGAATATTTTTAACAAAAATGACTTGNATGAAGATGGATGAATGAGTGAACCTGAATGCAGGTTTTGGTGAGAATAAAGACATTACAACTCTTAGGGGTCTATATATATTCCTTAATCATCAAAACTTTGCAACCTCCCACTTTCATAGATTTAACTGGGAAATAATTGCGGATTTTATTTGATGATCTGTTCTTCACAAAGAATATTTGCATTGTTAAATGGGTTTTGATGCACACGTGTTTATGTTTCACTGAGTTTAAACTCTCAGTCGGACACCTTCCCTCCTTAGGAAAGGTGCCGCGTAGATACTCTTGTCCTGAAGCAACGTAGAGTCTATGCTGGGCAAAGTACTTTCTGACTTAGTATGTGGGTGATATGTTTGTTATAACAATGATGCCCCTTCATGACTTTATTCAAAACTTGTTTTACATCATCATTCATTTCATTTTTCTCATTCTCTTAAAGGAGCTTTCAGCGTAATTTAAAATGACCCCCAAAATAAAACGTTTCATGGTAAATTCCCAAGGAAACCCTTTAAACTTATGAATGAGCAACAATAAGGATTAAGGATAGTATTGTCATATTACTATCTGTAAAAGTGCATATTTATGTATTAAATTCCTTCATTTTGACTGCTGAATAATTCCGCAAGTCACAATTAGATCAAGAAACCGCACATCAATAATTTTCACAGATAAAAAGGATATCGTTATTTTTTTCTTAGCTTTTAATGTTCTTGCATTTTTAATGAAAGAGTCACTTAAATCAACTTCGCGAACAGTCCCTTTAAAAGTGGAAGAAAAAGGGACAACTGTAAGCAATGCACATGCCTTTTGAATCCTTTCAAAGTTTAAGCTCAAATTATATATTTTTTTCTAAAACGAATTAAAAATCAGTTTAGTAAATAGGTATAATGAAGGACTGAATGAAGGTGCGACTACTTTTTGAAAACTTCATCTCTGACAGTGTTAAAAATGTGTAACATAAAAATTGAAACTTAAAAATAAAATCAGTAAATTTTAAACAATTTCAAATTTTGATTAAAATGTTCAAACAAGATCGATCACATACAAAGTATGGAAATTATGTGCTCTTAAAATGTGCAAGAAAGTTTAAGAAACTCAGTTTTCTGGTTAAAACACAACAGAACATCTGATAATTTTGGTTTTACTATTGCCAAAGTTGTTAAAAAAAAATTGAATCTATCTTTATTTTTGCAAACTCCGGTTCATTTTAAATACTAAGCGCTTACTAAGGCAACACAATAAAGTTGAGCATAATGAAAAAAAACCACCGGATTACAATAGACCCCTGCTAGTTAGAAATAATGAGATAGATATGTACATTTGTTGACACAAAACACGGACGGCTTGATGTTGTTTGATGAACTCCTTGTAACCACAAATACTTTGTTGCAAATATGTATATATTTCAAACCTACAAAAACAGTTTTAGTAATAATCAGTAAAACATCGGCCAGTAGGGTGTTCTGGAGTGATCAAGGAGTGGTTTGATATCTCAGAGGAAGGTGATCGGGTCAGTTTAAAAAACATTTGGTTATTACTTCTGAAATAAAAATCCCGGGCGTTTAAGCGGAAATTGTTAAGGATTGCAGAATTATTCACGAATTGTATCTTTTAATTTCACAAGTTAAAAGTTTAGTGTTCAAAGATTGACGATATTGTTGACTCTGTCCATAACGGAGGTAGGCCGGTGTACAATTTTTGTTTTATACCTGGCCGTATACAAAGGGGAAGGATAGGAAAACGACATCATGCTTCGATACAGCTTGGGGTGCAGGTTTATGTTCAACATATCTTTCAGTATTAATACTTATATATTTTTCAGATGCTGTTATAATTTTCTCATTAAATAGTTTGATAATAAAATGTGTTCTGCCTGGGACCAATTGTAATTAGAAAATATGAATTTGTTTTCTACATTTTTCCTCTATTTATATATAGCAGGTAATTTTTACCAGAATTTAGATTAGAATGAATTAATAACTTTAACCATAAATGGCTGGGGTTGATGCCTTAGAAAGTTTTAACTTTTAAGAAAAAGTAATTTAGAAAGATTTTTGAATTTTTTCTTATCATAAAGAGTGTAGGTCTCAAAGACAAATGGAAATTATCTGTGTTTCTTATTTATCTGTATTTCCTTTATGTCTAAGTTTCTTATTTTTTAAAGTTTCTTATTTATTTGTACTTCCTTTATGTCTAGGTTTCTTATTTTTTTAAGTTTCTAATTTATCTGTATTTCTAGTTTATTTATTTTTAGTATATATCCGTGTTACTTATTTACTAAGTTTCTCTCATTTACCTGTTTTCATTTTATTTCGTTTTACTTTTCTGTTCTAATTTTTTTCTTATTTATCTTTTTTATCTTTCTGTCTTTTTAACTATCTGTTTTTTTATCTATCTGTTTTTTGTATATATGTTTTTTTATCTGTCTGTGTTTTATCTGTCTGTTTTTAATCTATCTGTTTTTTATCTATTTATTTTTTAACTATCTCTTTTTTAATCTATCTCTTTTTAATCTTTCTGTTTTTTATCTATCTGTTTTTTATCTATCTGTTTTTTATCTATCTGTTTTTAACTATCTGTTTTTTATCTATCTGTTTTTTAGCTATCTATTTAATATAATTTCCTGTTCGCCTATCATTTTGTTTCAATTTGTTCCGTTTACCTATTTTCTGTTTCTCTTCCTTATTTACCTATACGTCTACCTGTTTCCTCTTTTCCTGTTTTCCCGGTTTAAATTTTTATAAATTGTGTTGTATTCAGGTTTCTACTGTTTTGAATGTTTACCGGGCAACCTAGCTGTTTATACTCTCAAGGATTCTTGTTGGGATAATTCATCAATATATATTTTAATAATTTTTCTAAATTATAAAAATATTTTCATGACCCCACTTTTAACAACAGTGCCCTTTAATCCTTTGTCTGATCATGAAGGAACAAAATATCCTTAACTTTCTCCCTTAAGATTGGTTATTTTCAAAAACTTGATTGGCATAAAAAGATGTTCATAATTGGCTTAAAAGTTTCTTTCTCTGATTATAATTCATTCTAAACCAGCAACTTTACCAGATTCAAACATTTTGGGACGAAAGTACGTTTCCAAAACAGTTCCCACTGTGGAGACCCCCAGCACAGTGGTCCAAAACCTTGGGTAAGTTCATTCATAAATATATTAAAACACGCAGTGGTCCGAAACAATGGGTGAGTTAATTTTTAAATTTTTAATTTTTAAATTAAACACAATGTTCCATTAGCGTTAGTTCTTAAATTTAAACACCCTGTGTGTTGATTTTGCGTTTAAAAAGAAATATTTGTGCTTACAAAATAAAGCTTCTGCCTGAATTTGCCTATTTTCAAATATTGCCAATTTAATATGGATATTTTGCTAATCAACATCCATAAATAATCCCAGTATGGGGGTATTGGATGGACGGGGGGGGGGGGAGAACATCTAATTTATTTATATTAAATCATCATAATTACTTCAATAGGATCATAAAATATAATCTTTTTTTTAAATGATATAAAAGGTTTCTTTAATTCTAATTGATCTTTAAATTTGGAAACTGCCTCCCCCTTCTTTTCATACTTAAAACATTAGACACAGATTAACAAATTCCAACAAAATTCCTCTAAAATGGACAAAAAGCATTAAAGATGTCTTTCCTCACACATACTTGTGTTCGCTACTGTTATTTTAGATAATGTTTGTCTAGCTGTCTGAATATCTGTCTGTTTGGATATCTGTCTGATTATTAGTCTGTCAGAATATCTATCTGTCCAGGTTTCATCTGTCTGTCCAGGTATCTATATGTCCAGGTATCTATCTGTCCAGGTATCTATCAGTCCAGGTATCTATCTGTCCAGGTATCTATCTGTCCAGATATCTATCTGTCCAGGTATCTATCTGTTCAGTATCTATCTGTCCAGGTATCTATCTGTTCAGGTATCTATCTGTCCATTATCTATCTGTCCAGGTATCTATCTGTCCAGGTATCTATCTGTCCAGGTATCTATCTGTCCAGGTATCTATCTGTCCAGGTATCTATCTGTCCAGTTATCATCTGTCCAGGTATCTATCTGTCCAGGTATCTATCTGTCCAGGTATCTATCTGTCCAGTTATCTATCTGCCCAGTTATCTATCTGTCCAGCTATCTCTCTGTCTATGTATCAGTCTGGATAATCAACTGTCTGTTTATCAGTCTTTCTATCTGTTTGTCTGTGTAGAGTAAAGCTGAAGCAAAAATAACATCTTGTTGAGACAAAAAAAACTGCATACTGTAGACTAGTACTAACAAGGACTGTCTGAACAAGGGCTAAAGGGACCGTTCAGGATTTTCTAGAACAATCAAGAATCTAAATAAATATCTCTGAGAGGTTACCAGGGCATACTTTCTAAATGCGATTTATCCATGAATGTGATATCTATGAACTTTCGTAGAAATTTGGTTGTTTTTAATGATGATTTCTCTAAGACTTCAGAAGCAACAAAAAAAAAAAATATTGAGAATGAAAAACTTTGCTAAAATCCCAGATTATCTTGCACATAATTGATCGGTTAAAGTGTACCATTGTGAATGGGACAAGATCATCTTTAGATTATAGGGTTTCTTAAAATCACAACGGCAGTTCATTTTTATTTTAGAAAGTCGTCAGATTGAAGAAAATGAAATACAATTTGTATGTCAAATAAAGAATGTAAATATAAATAAAAAGAATACAGTTAATGGAACTCAAACTATTTCCCGAAAAAGGGTCAGCTTACCCTGCAAAGTGAACGATCTCTTGCAACAATTGCAAATATTTAATCTGGGTTTCCCACCTTGTCTAACATGTCCACCCATTAAAATGAAATATTGGAAGGATTAACTTGTCGTAAAACCAAGATCTAGATATTAGTTCCAGTCCTAAACTATACAAGTTTGTTTTTTACCCTCCCCCCCCCCCTCTCAAAAATACATCTTACTTCAAATCTTTAAGAAACCCTTAAAAAAAAAGAAACACATAAAAAGTTGGACAAATGTGTAACAATGTTATTGATAATAATTTTAAAAAATGCAGATAATTTGAAGGATAGACAAAGGAAAAAGAATAGGGAAAAGAATAGATCAAAGGAATGAAAAAGAAAGATGCAGATAATTTGAAGGGTAGACAAAGGAAAAAGAATAGGGAAAAGAATAGATCAAAGGAATGAAAAAGAAAGATGCAGATAGTTTGAAGAATAGACAAAGGAAAAAGAATAGATTGAAGGAATGAAAGAAAAAGATGCAGATAATTTAAAGGATAGATCAAGGAAAAAGAATTGATTCAAGGAATTAAAGAAAAAGATGCCGATAATTTAAAGGATAGACAAAGGAAAAAGAATATATTGAAGGAATTATAGAAGAAGATTAAAGGAACTAAAGAAAAAGATGCAGATAGTTTGAAGGATAGACAAAGGAAAAAGAATAGATTGAAGGAATTAAAGAAAAAGATGCAGATAATTTGAAGGATAGACAAAGGAAAAAGAATAGATTGAAGGAATTAAAGAAAAAGATGCAGATAATTTGAAGGATAGACAAAGGAAAAAGAATAGATCAAAGGAATGAATAAGAAAGATGCAGATAGTTCGGTCGGGGGCTTAAAGGTCTGAGACCGTTATAAATTTAGCCGTGTAAATGAATAAAAGAAACAGATAAAGTTAATTTAAAAATAAACAAAGAAAAGAAGGAATAAATAAAATAAATAAATGATTAATCGAATAGTAAAATGAATAGGAACTAAAAACAAGAACTTGACCCAATTACCCCGACAACAACCTTGAAATAGAAATGATTTAAATAACAGAAAGATGCATCTTTATTCTACACTCTTTATACAGTCTAAACAGTTATCCTTCTAGCTTTCATAATATCTTTCTATCCTTCTTTTAAAATATCTATCTATCTTTCTTTTGGAATATCTATCTATGGTTACATTTTTTTGAGAATTTTTTGATAATATCTTTTTTCTTTTATAAAATTGTACTCAAATACAAAAGCTGCAGAGCCCGAAATTAAATTTTGGGGTCTTAATATTTGTGTAGATTTTAATTTAAGAGATTCGAAAAAATTGAGAATATAAACAAACGGAATAGAAAAATATTTCATAACAAGCAAATTGATAGTCACAAAACCGCCTAACGCCATTCGTGAAACCCGGGTTTTAAAACTGGTTTTCAGAGCGTTACCTTGTCTTAAGTTTGGGCTCTGGGGTTTACGATTTGCTACTATTCAACTTATTACTCTAGGTATACTTGGGAAGGGGATTTTTTATAGTCGACCATTTTGCTTTAAGTTTTAAGTACCACTCAAACTTACACATACAATCGTCAATTTGAAATATTTACTTTAAAAAATGACGAACTATAGCTTGTTACTTATTATCAAAATTAGAATGTTCAATTCTTTTACAAAAGCTGAAAGAAAACAATAAATTCGCTTTAAACGAATTAAAATACGTGATTGATAAACAATTTTATGGAATTTTTACATTAATAACTTAAGAATACTTTAATGTTACAGAAAATGTGTTCATGTTACAAAATAAAAAAAAATGAGAAAAATGCATATTTATTTTAATGACAATTCATTTTTCAAAAACGATCGTATAAAAACGGTCGCTAATCGTTTTACAAAAAAGATCGAAAAATTAACAACCCTAATTGTACCTATCTATTATTTATAAAACTCATCTATCTTTTATAAAATTCTATTACTCTTTGATAATATATATCTATTTTTCATAAAATTCTATCTATCTTTTATAAAATTATATTTAAATCTTTAATAATATCTATTTTTCTTTCATAAAATTCTATTTATCTTTGAAAATAGCTATTTTTCTTTCATCAAATTCTATCAATCTTTTATAATATTTATCAATTATTCATGAAATTTATCTATCTTTTATAAAAGAATATCTATCGTTGATAATATCTATCATCTTTCATAAAATTCTATCAATTTTTAAAATATTTATCTACCTTTGATAATATCTATTTTCTTTACTTTTACATAAATTAACTTACTTTTTAATTGTGAAGAACCCACTCTACACAAAAGAAACACAAGCAAGGCCAATATATGGAACTACTTAGCGACCTCTTAAATTCTCTAGTTTTGATTTTACACCCAAGATAAAGATAAATAAACTTGCTTTTCTGCACATTATATGCTCATCCTTAGTATGTACGTAATCCTGTACACTTTTCATCGTAAATGTGATTTTTTTTCAGATTTAAACGACTTTTTTACTTGCTTCTGCCTTTTGTTTCTCTGGTTTTAACCAATTTGTACTTTGCATATCCCACCAATAATCTCATATTTTTTTTATTTTCTCAACTTATAAGTATTAAATCAAAAATCTTGAATTAATGATTTTCTTTTTGAATGTTGTCTTCTTGAAACCGTATTATATGTTTAATCTAAAGACAGATGTGTGGTTCTACAATATACAAACCCAGCCAAATATCCATAAACTCACTTCCACATGGTGTGTTTGCATACATACAACCTGGAAGGGGGGGAGGAATCCAGGTCATGAATTTTTATCTTATTTTTTTTTAATCCCACATAAAAAGTTCCATCATCGTTAATAATAAAAAGTCTTTTTAAAAATTGAATTATATAAATTTATCTAGGATTTGTTCATGGCGAGGGCCCGGACCTTTTTACTCTGGGTGCTGGAGTGAGTGCCGGGGTCAAACAATTCGTAGAGACCGGAGATAGCGAGATTCTGGAACAGGAAACCAAATTCATCAATTTATAAATTTATTCAAATCAGGGGTTTACTGAGTTTCCCCCCCCCCCCCGCCACCATTATCAAGGCCCCATAACACCTACTGCCAGTAACAACTTGCAATCAGTAATCCACCAATGTATAAACATACTTTGATTTAACGATATTTTTTTCAAGTGTGACATTAACTTCTTCGAGTTAGAATTCTTGTTTATAGACAGAAGCCCAAGGGAGTTACGTGCGCATGCTGAGTTGAACTACAAGACAGAGAGAGAGTCTGTTCCAACCGCGGCGCTCGGCCCCCCATCCTGTCCTAGCCGCGGCGCTTGGCCCCCTAGCATGTCCAGAAAGTGTGTTAACCCAACCTAACCTTAAAATATATACTAATCTCTCTCTTCTTGTAAGAAAACGCGGCAAGTGCACGTAACTTCTTTGACAACAGCCTAGTTAATAACTGTATAAAGAAGGAAATGATTTAAATTAAAACTATGTTAACATTTTAAAAGAGATCACCCCTTACCAAGCCAGCCCCCCCCCCTTATGTCTAGAAATGTAATTAGTATTTTGGTCCAAATATGAAAGGATGACTCAAGCTTTTTTAGATTAAATCGTATCCTAATGAATAAAATCACGATCTTTACGTTTTCATGAGTCACGGAATATTTTTATCAAAAAATCCGCCATTTTTTAATAATGGTTTGGTTTGGCTTGATGCTTAATATTTGGTTTGGTTTAGGAAATAGGAAACAGTAGTTCAACTATTCTAGATACCATTCTTGTACCACAAATAACACAGGTAATGAAAATCATCATTCATATTTTTAAAGATGTTTTACTTACTTTAAAATTTAAAATATGATGATAATCTTGATTTAGGGAGTAGGAGAATCTTTAGCAACTGTATTTGTGGACGGTTCTCATAGTCAGGTAGTTATTCTGGTCAGATAGTTCTTCTTCTTCTTCTTCTTTTTCATCATCTTCTTCTTCTTCTTCTTCTTCTTCTTCTTTCTTTTTCTTCTTCTTCTTCTTCTTCTTCTTCTTCTTCTTCTTCTTCTTCTACTTCTTCTTCTTCTTCTTCTTCTTCTTCTTCTTCAAACTTTTCTATTTAAAGTGACAGTTGTTACAATTTGAAGTGATCTCCAAGTTGAAGAGTGTTATATATCCTTTATATCCTTATCTGAGCATCAATGAGGAAGATATTGTAGTGTCTATATTAAAACGCTTTAAATTCTGACCTTTTCCTTCAGTATTTCTAATACATAAACCCGCAAACCACTGTTAAAGAGAATTTACAATTTTCAGAGAGAAAAGGAAGGATATCTTTATAATTTTTCCTCAAAAAAAAAGTTTAAAGGGAACCAAGGTCAAACTGGCATGCGCCTCTTTTTTATTGTTCTCAAAATTAGGATCAATCCTTTTAATTCTTAACGTTTAACTTCCCTATTATGGAATATTTTTCCTGTGTGTGTGTTAACTACTTTATCTCTTGTTAAATATATATTTACTTGTCTAGTATCCTCCTATAGAAGCTATCTATATCATCATTGCATGAATACCCTCCCCCCCCCATCCCTTCCCCTGCATTCATTCATCCATGTTTTTTACTCCAATGTGTGGTGTTCCATATATGGCTGTACCCCTCCTCTTCGCTATTCCACCATCACTTTTGTTATGCTAATCACCAGATTTTTACCAGAGAAAACTAAAAACCAAGGTTTAAAATACTAAAACCATTTTTAGTTTTATAACCAAGATATCAAACTTACAGGGTGTGCAATAGAATCAAACTGTTAAGGTTTTGTGAGCCCTTATTACCCATTTTTGTATTGTGATCAAGATAATATATTTAGATAAGTATTGTGACCAAGATATAATTTAGATAACTATTGTGACCAAGATAATATATTTAGATAAGTATTGTGATCAAGATATAATTTAGATAAGTATTGTGATCAAGATAATATATTTTGGTAAGTATTGTGACCAATATAATATATATAAATAAGTATTGTGACAAAGATAATATATTTAGATAAGTATTGTGACCAAGAAATTATGTTTAGATAAGTATTGTGACCAAGATAATATATTTAGATAAGTATTGTGACCAAGATAATATATTTAGATAAGTATTGTGACCAAGATATTATATTTAGATAAGTATTGTGATCAAGATATAATTTAGATAAGTATTGGGATCAAGATAATATATTTTGGTAAGTATTGTGACCAAGATAATATATATAAATAAGTATTGTGACATAGATAATATATTTTGGTAAGTATTGTGACCAAGAAAATATATTTAGATAAGTATTGTGACCAAGATAATATATTTAGATAAGTACTGTGACCAAGATAATATATTTAGATAAGTATTGTGACCAAGAAAATATATTTAGATAAGTATTGTGAATTTGTGACCAAGATAATATATTTAGATAAGTATTGTGACCAAGATAATATATTTAGATAAGTATTGTGACCAAGATATTATATTTAGATAAGTCTTGTGACCAAGATAATATATATTTAGATAAGTATTGTGACCAAGATAATATATATTTAGATAAGTATTGTGACCAAGATAATATATATTTAGATAAGTATTGTGACCAAGATAGTTCCCTCCCCGGACTGGTTTATTGGCCTGGATAGCCTACAACTCTGTGAAGATGGAAAATTTAAAGAAAATATTTCAATTCAGGTCAGATTAATACCAATTTAAAAATTATGAAGGCTCATCCTAAAATGTCAAAAAAGAAATATATAAATTATTTGTAAATTTTTATCCTTAAAATGTTAAAACAGATAATATTTCAAATATTTGTTGATTTTCGAACAGATAATTCTTGTGTGAACTGTAAGTGACGACTTTTAAATATATTCTTCTATTTGCGACATATTGGATTGATAGCACTTAAAGTTTAATGGAAGTTCGAACCATATTTTTTTTAACTATTAATTGTTTATGAACTATAGGAATCAAAGACAGCTTTTACAAAGTCATTTATCTTTGTAATATTGGGCGCTAGGGATGTCAACAATAATGTAACGTAAAATAAAATGAACGTTTTTGTACGTTAAATGAAACGTTTGGATATATTCTATATAACGGGAAATTTCAACGTTAACGTTAAAGGAGCTTACACCTAATGTTAACGTTACAGGAGCATAGACCTAATTTTAGTGTTTTATAGTAACGTAACATTATTTTTCTTAATATCTGCAGCAACATGTTTGACCATAACGTAAAGAAAATTTTGTTTCAATGTGGAGCTTGAAATTCTAACTTTTCAAAAAATCAATTGGGATTTGATTGCATATCGAAACAAAAAGATTTCTAGTTCAAAGTTAAATTTTTATGAAATCTTTTATCTTTATTATATTGGGCACCCTCCGTATTTATTTTGATAGGTTAAACCCATTAATATTGTAGCAGATATTTTAAAATTTCTTTATTTTTTATACATGACTACAGAGTGCAGAGAGACGTCTGTAGGAATTAATACTGTTAGACATTGATATATGATCATACTTGATCGGACAAAGCTTTTAGGGTACCATTGTGAATCGGTCATTTTTTACAGAAGATCACTTGAAGTTACGCTTACAGTCCCTTTAATGGTTTTTGTTTATCAGGCTGAATTGTATGATGCTGGTACAGATAATGGGTTTACCTTCACTTCACCCAACTGGCCAACTGAACCTCAAGGGGTTGTTTTCAAGTAATTCATCTAATTTACGACAATTTTGATTAATTGATGAATTAATTATTGACGAATTAATAGTGTAAGTTTCAATTACCCGCATTGATTAGCTGTTTGGTTGAGGGATTGTTTTATTACTTAATTTATTAGTTGATGGATTAACAAATTACCGTCTACATAGCAAACCCATCCTGCTGGTAGTTTCCATTACCATCCATTGATTGATTAATTAATTGTTTGTTTGATTTATTAATTAATTGATGGATTGAGTAATTGATTGAATGATTGATTGATTGATTTATTGGCAAGATAACATCTACATAACCAGACCATCCTGCGGGTAGTTTCCATTACCTTCCATTGATTGATTGATTAATTGTTTGATTGATTAATTATTTGTTTGATTGATTGATTAATTTTTGATTGATTGATGAATTGGTTGATGGATTAAGTAATTGGTTGTTTGTTTGATAGATTTATTGATTGATTGCAAGTGTGATTGATTGATTACCAGGATAACATCTACGTAACTGACCCATTCTGTGGAAAGTTTCCATTACCCTCCATTTATTGATTGATTGATTGTTTGATTATCAGGATAACATCTACATATCCTACCCATCCTGCTGGTAGTTTCCATTATCCTCATCTAGAACATCTTCCAACTCTAGCCGTTTACTCTCTAACTAAGGTTCAAAATTTAATTTTAATTTTCATATAAAAACTTTTACAGTCATCTTATGTAGTAAAATTGTACTATATAGGAGCGTGATTATGAACTAGTTGGGCAGCATAAAGCTGGAGTACAAGATTTTATTTATGCTCAGAAAACCAACAAAAAGGTACTTTTTATAATTATCATTTCTTAACATCATCTTTATTAAAGATATTAGAAGTGGCAACATACCCATGAGGGGTGATTATTTATGAATATTGTGTACTTTTCTCATTTTCTCTTTTATCATTATTATGATTATCATAGTCATCATAAATGTTTAGATTTTCTATTGTAACTTCCATAATTAATTATTAGTCTATATTTTAGGAGAAGTATGAGTATAGTTTACCAAATCATCTTGGAACAAAATCATTGGAAATAATAGATTTTATTCCGATTGATGAGACCAGGGTTGAACCGAAATATGATGTCGAAACTAATCAGATCAGCCAAACCACAGTTTCAGGAGGATTAGATAAACGTAATCTTGGGATTAGAGGATCTATATCAGGTAAAACAGAACCTGACTGACCTACCTGACCTACCTGACCCTCCTGACCTACCTGACCTACCTGACCTACCTGACCTTCCTGACCTACCTGACCTACCTGACCTACCTGACCTACCTGACCTACCTGACCTACCTGACCTACCTGACTTACCTGACCTACCTGACCTACCTAACTAACCTGCCTGACATCGAGCTACCTGACTTACCTGACCTACCTGACCTACCTAACCTACCTGACCTACCAGACTTAACTAACCTACCTGACCTAATAACCTACCTGACTTACTGACCTACCTGACATGCCTGATCTACCTGACATACTTGACCCTCCTGACCTACCTAGGATACCTGGCATCAAGTGCACCTGAGGATTTCTTGAAGAAGAAATATAAAAGTGAGTTTCTAAGTGCTGCAGAAGATCTTGTTTTTCACTCGGAGAAGGATTTAGAGAAGAAGAGAAGCGAGAAAGCTGAAAAGAAAAAGAAAAAGGAAAAACAAATAAATAAATTAAGTTTTCTCTTTATAGTTTGAAGCAAGTTTATTATTTTCCCTTTTTTTTCAATTGTTAGAAAATTGCATCTTTTGCTTTGCATGTTTTTTTTTCTAGAATTTTACTTTATTAATGCAAACACTGTTAACCCTATCCCGATTGGCTATTTTTGTCTTATAAAAATTTGAGGAAGGGGGGTTTCCCTCCCCTGTGAATTCGCCCCACCCTTTAATTCCCTTGGGAAACTGCACATTTGGAAAGTTGCCATTTCGGAAAATAGCCTTGGTAGTTTTCCGCTTGGGAAAGTACTTAACATCGAGATGATAAAGGTTTGCGGAGTCTCATTGTTCTCTATGTTTGAATAAGTTGAGGATTATTTGTATTCCTGGTTCAGGAGATGATGGATAAAATCCTAGGATCTTACCAGGCCCAGGCACAATCTAGGATAGGTCAGAAGAAGAAAAGGTTCAGGAAACGAAAGCAGCATAGATCTCAAAGTAAGTTAAACAATTGCTACCACTAAAGGCTGAAGGGGGGGATGTTGTGTCACAATTATAAAAAAGAACCTTTCAAGGTAAAAGTAGATTTTACAACAACAGGGGAGCAAAGATATTATTATCGGGCTCTAAATAGGCTGTAGACTTGACTCCAATCTAACCTCCATTTATACAGTGGCACATCCGATTCATGACGGTACCTTCTTTGATTTAAAATAAGGAATACATCGTTGTTTATCCATCGGCAAAAGTTTGAATTTTGATTAAAGATGGCAAAATTATCAAGTTTAAGATGGAAAAGAGAGACCATCATTAGGGTCACTCTAAAACTGTGCAATTTTTTGTGTGTTTTCATAGCTTTTTCATTTAAATTTGAAGATATTATGAAGTGGTTAGATTATTGCTTGTTTTGTTGACAGACTACATCTTATGATAACAAACTTCTGAAAAAAAAAACTAAAAAACTTTAGTGAAATAAACATTCTCGGAGTCCATGCAGGAAGCAATGAAGTAAAAAATGTCCAATTTTTATAATATTTGTTTAACAATAAATCTACTCCTACTGTAGAGAAGACCCGGAGTTGTGAGGTATCCACTTGGATAGGATGGAGTGCTTGTAGTAAATCCTGTGGTATCGGAGAAGCAGTTCGAACCAGAACCATACTTAAACATCCTAGGCATGGAGGCACTCCTTGTCCTAAACTCAGGTTAGAAACCAACTCCCTGTCCTAAACTCAGATTAGAAACCTACTTCCAGTCCATAAACTCAGGTTAGAAACCTACTCCCCTTCCCAAACTCAGATTAGAAACCTTCTCCTCCTAGGCAAAGTTAGAAAATTACTCCCTGTCCGAAACTCAGGATAGAAACCTACTCTCTGTCCTGAACCCAGGTTAGAAACCTACTTCCTGTAGTGAACCCAGGTTAGAAACCTACTCCCTGTTCTAAATCCAGGTTAGAAACCTACTCCCTGTCCTAAATCCAGATTAGAAACCTAATCCCTGTCCTAAACCCAGGTTAGAAACCTAATACCTGTCCTAAACCCAGGTTAGAAACCTAATACCTGTCCTAAACTCAGGTAAGAAACCTAATCCCTGTCCTAAACCCAGCTTAAAAACCTAATCCCTGTCATAAACTCAGGTTAGTAACCTACTCCCCTTCCTAAACTCAGGTTAGAAACAGCTACTCCCTGTCCTAAACTCAGGTTAGAAACCTACTCCCTGTCCTATACTCAGGTTAGAAACCTACTCCCCGTCCTAAACCCAGGTTAGAAACCTAATCCCTGTCCTTTACTCAGGTTAGAAACCTAATCCCTGTCCTATACTCAGGTTAGAAACCTACTCCCTGTCCTATACTCAGGTTAGAAACCTACTCCCTGTCCTATACTCAGGTTAGAAACCTACTCTCTGTCCTATGCTCAGGTTAGAAACCTACTCCCTGTCCTATACTCAGGTTAGAAACCTACTCCCCCTCCTAAACTCAGGTTAGACACAGCTACTCCCTGTCCTAAACTCAGGTTAGAAACCTACTCCCTGTCCTATACTCAGGTTAGAAACCTACTCCCTGTCCTAAACTCAGGTTAGAAACCTACTCCCTGTCCTTTACTCAGGTTATAAACCTATTGTCCTAAACTCAGGTTAGAAACCTACTCCCTGTCCTAAACTCAGGTTGGAAACCTACTCCCTGTCCTAAACTCAGGTTAGAAACCTACTCCTAGACTAGGTTTGAATGATGGACAAACAGAAAAGAGGAAAGATTGTCACCTTAGTTATTTCATCAGCTTGTAAAATGTTTTGAAAGGGAAAATGAGATAAGTATATTTGAAAACATTTAGGCCACAATTTTATGAGAGAAAAAAAGGCTTTATTCAGACCACTTTTTTCTGGTTATTAGAGTAAACTAATGATTCGATTTTTTACGATTTTTCTTTAGGGATTATAAATGGTGCGGCAGTGCCAGGAACTGTAACAGTCGGTACTTTGATTGGTAATCTTGGAAAACATTCCGCCATCCGCCATCCACCATCCGCCTCCAGATTTTCAAACTAACTAATTCGTGAACACCAACATCTATACACTAGCAGTGACAATCATCTTCGGATAAACACCCCAAGGAAGGTCATAGAATTGGGATGAACAATCACAAAACCCAGATATTCAAGATGGAAAATATCCATTTTTTATATAGCAATTAACTGCTATAATGTATGCCAAAGCATTTGAGCCAGTAAATAAAAACAGTAAAAAACTGCGAAAAAAAAATAGAGCGTGAAATCTGATTATTATCAGAAAAGTGACAAATTTTCATTGTTAAAAACAAGATCATGAAGAAAAAAAACTAAAATATTTTTAAAGATTCGGTTCGATCAACTGACACTTTAAATAAATATAATTCATATTTTTTTATTTCAGACAATTTATTATCGTAAAATTACTAGTCCATTTTGTGTATCCATTAATTAGAAACATTATTACTGTAATGACAACGTATTCGCCCCTGAATATTTTAGATGCGCGCCACCAGCTGTTTTAATAGTTTGCGGCATCCTGCTCACTTTTCCGCCAAAAAATGGCTACACACATCCATAATTATAATTTTCCGTAATTTTTTATTATTTTTAAATCAATTAAGCTTCTGATAATAACTTTATACTGCTTAATTATTAATCAATTCTTCAAACAATTTGCTGATTGTTAATAAATTAAATATTGTAAATAATTTATATATATATTATGTTGAATTATTATTTTCAGAATTTTATCTGAAAACTATTTTGTGTAATAAATACATGAAAATCAATCTTAATTTTTTAAAATATTTTTCAATCACAACATTTCAGAATTAAGTTTTTTTTTGGAAGAAAACCGACCCATTTTAGTTTTTTTTATGAACCATTGAAACCTTTCCGTAAAAAGGCAGACGTCTTTTAAAGTCATTCTGCACTTAATGTGTGGCATATCAGATTTACAACAATGTATGAGTAACTATAAGAATTATGTCGTTATTTTCTATCTTAAGACATTCGGTCCATTTACTTCATTGTCTATGCTGCTCACGGTTTGCGTTTAGATAGAACACACATGGCTATCATCGATCAGACAAAGATTTAAAGGATAGTGTTGTAAATTAGACTTGCCACTCTATAAAATTATGTCTAGTCTTTTAATTCCTTTCCTGAGAAAATAATGAATCAGAACAGAAGATTTAGAAAGAAAAAAACATTAAAGTACCCATTCCCGTAGNCCCCCCCCCCCCCGTTGATCATTTTTTAACTCCCCTGCATATTAGTGGGATATAATGCTTTTCTGCTTCACGGATTGCAAGATTGCAAGGCTATTTATGGATAAACATCTTAACGTCTGAATATTAAACATTTAACAAGTTTTTAAAAATAAGAAAATGATCAAGAACTTGAACATTGTTAAATAAATGATATTATCCCATTTCTATCCTTTTTTAAATTTTGCTCAAAAATGGCCGTTACCCCCTCCCCTTCCGAGTGCCCCCCCCCCTCCACATTGTAAAACTCTTTTCTGTCTATCTCAAAATACTGTGGCATTGAAATTATTTCTTTTGTTTAGAAAGAAAACAAAAGTTAACATATACTAGCTCAAACAATTCTTCCCTAACCTTTCCCATACTCATACTATTCTTGCTCAACATTTCCCATACTCATACAATTCTTCAACTGCATTTCCCATTCTCATACTATTCTTCTACAACATTTCCCTTACTCATACTATTCTTTTTCAACATTTCCCATACTCATGATTTTCTTCCTCAACATTTCCCATACTAATGATTTTCTTCCTCAACATTTCCCATACTCATACAATTCTTTCACACCATTTACCACACTCATTTAATTCTTCCTTAACATTTCCCATACTGATACAATTCCTCCTCAACATTTATCATAATCATACAATTCTTACACAACATTTCCCATACTCATACAATTCTTTCACAACATTTACCACACTCATAATATTTTTCACAACATTTCCCATGCTTACAATTCTTCCTTAACATTTCCCATACTCATACAATTTTAATCCCTAACATTTACCATAAACATACAATTCTTTCACAACATTTCCCGTACATACAGTTTTCATCCCCAAAATTATGCACTTGTACATTAATTTTACTTTTAAATCATTTAGATTTTATACAATGGCTTATCCCCTTTATGTAGTTTTTTTATTGCTTTCCAATCATTTTAACTCTAATAAAATCGGAGAAAGTTTAATAAAATTCATAATCCCGGTCTGAGTTAAAAAGTATAATGCATTATCCCAGTCTTGTACTTTCACGTTGCTTTCCAATCTTTTTCTAGTTTTTCACTTTGCTTATTACATGGCTTTCAAATAGGTTTTCATTTTTTACATTATTTTCCTATAGTTTTCCATTTCTTATAATTATTTGTCCATAATCTTTTTATCATAATTTTCCATACCTGTTAGTCAATACACTCTCTACATTTTTCAACATTTTATTTCTTTGAATTTTGTTAGTAACCTATTTAGATCATTCGTAATTAAGAAAAAAATGTCAAGCAAATTCAATTGAAAAGAAATTTTGTAACTTCTTTACGCTTTGTTAGCCTGATAAACTTAGAAGTTATGGAAAACCGTGCTGTTTGGTTTTACCCTACTAAACTAACTTATATCTTTAGTTTTGCTCTGAATATTTATATTTTTTAACTGCAAACTCAAACTAGAAACAAACACAATTAAAAGGTACGTGCCTAAGGCTACAACAAAAAATCAATGAGTTTGTGAAGTAAAAAAACCCCCAAGCCGCTGTGTCACTTCAAAGTTGACGCAGAAAAGAGACAAATTCTGTAATTTTCTTTTTAATTCTATGCTGCATAATTTTTTAGATTGAATTGAATATAGTCAATTTTCATGTAAATTTAATATTTCGGTCCTTGTCTTAGCAAAATTGAACCTACTAAAAATACATTTTTTTTTTCTTCTCTTTTTTGTTGGACTATGAGTTTTACATGAAAAAGTAAAATAAGACAACTCGTAAATTTAAAGATAACCGAATTATAATAGACCAAAACATTCCATTGAAATATTCAACTCCTTCAAATTATCCCAACAATTATTTTGCATCGTGAATGAATTAGAATTTATTACCGGTGTACTTTTAACAAGAACTATCTGATTTTTCTATTCATTAAGATTGCACCAAGAAGATTGCGTATTGGGTAAAATAAAATGCATTTCAATGCCTATTTTGTAAGAATTGTAACCGGGCATTTACAGGGGTTTGTAAAAAAAAATCCAGAACATGAAATTATAGAAAATATTAATTTTTCATAAAGATACCAAAGGTTTTTCATTAAAAAGGTTACTTAGAGATGTTAAGATAAGTCTAGAGGATAATGAGGAATGATCTCCAAATATGGTTTGATATCTTCATAATAAACACAATGGATAAATCCATTAAAGCAGAACCAATCAGTTCAAAATACAATTAATACAGAGACTACCCAGTAGTAGTACCCAGCAGTACTCAGTACCAAGTACCCAGTACCCAGTACCCAGTACCCAGTACCCAGTACCCAGTTCCCTGTTCTTATTTTAGAATTCCAATATTTTTGCAACCTAGTGACGTAAACCTTTGATAATAGAATTCATAGATTGAATTTTAATGGTCTGCGTTAAAATTAGAGTCTGTAATCTGTATGAAGAGACCCAGCCCCTCCCACATAAATCTATATAATAAAACAAGACATTCGAATATATGTTCCCTCTGGCCGGCCAAACGGCTGGACCGAATGGGCTGACATTTGTTGTGGACACTCATGGAAAGCCTTGGGGTGACAAAGGCTAAAAAAATTCAATTTTTTTCAAAAGTTTTTTTTCACGGGCAACGCCGGGCCTTTCAGCTAGTATTAAATTCAACATGAAAATATTAACTTCTCAAATTCATTGTACACACACCTCACGGCCCAACTGTAGGTATGGGTTGATTATGCAAATGAAGATATCAATGCTAATATAAGATATATGAGACGTAGATACAGGCCTAGAATTAGACATGGGCCTTGTTTTTTATCAACGCAAATTTTGCTTCCCTGCAAAACCTGAATTTATATACAGTGATAACCAGAAAACTCTGGAATAGGAAGTCGACTTTTAGACTCAGATTTTTACTTTAAATAGTCCAATAAACAGGAGACACAGCAATTGTGTATTGTAAACAGACCCATTTCACATAGTAAGTTATTTATTAACTTACTAGTAAAGCTCTGTGCTTTGTAACAGAATCAAATGCACTTAAGTATTGTTTTAATGTCGTCTTCCTATTCTACAGTTTTCTGGTTGTCACTGTATGTTAATAATGAATAATGTAATGTGAACGAACTTATCAACCTTAAAACAACTTCTTTGCTTACATTTTACGATTGAGAGCACACCTTTTTTAAATAAAAAGTATACGTGGGTTTAATAATGTATATTTTTACCTCTCATTTATAGGTATCGTTTTGCTTACAGTGGTAGGAGATTTTATATTAATACATTGAAGACAAATTTTTACTTAACTTTTGATTGTTGACAAGCTTTATTCAAATTACAAGTTTACAAGCAATTATAGAGAACCTTTTTTAATTGACAGCTTAATTCTCTCGACTTCTTTGTATATGATATCCAGATTTAACAGCTTGATATAAAAAAATGTAAATCAAAAGTCGTCTTTGCTGTATTGATATAATTGCCAACAACTGTGTTCTAAAACATTACAATTTCCATCGAAATTTGGTCATTGCGTTCACAATGGAAAACGAACGTTGACGAACGGTATTGCTAAAAAGCTGAACATGTCCATGTCTGGCCTAAAATCAGCTAAAAAGCTGATTATGTCCATGTCTAGCCTAAAATCAGCTAAAAAGCTGATTATGTCCATGTCTAACCTAAAATCAGCTAGAAAGCTGAACATGTCCATGTTTAGCCTAAAATCAGCTAAAAAGCTGATTATGTCCATATCTAGTCTAAAATCAGCTAGAAAGCTGAACATGTCCATGTCTAACCTAAAATCAGCTAGAAAGCTGAACATGTTGATGTCTACCCTAAAATCAGCTAAAAAGCTGAACATGTCCATGCCTAGCCTAAAATCAGCTAGAAAGCTGAACACGTCCATGTCTAGCCTAAAATCAGCCTGCTTAAAACCAGACAAGGCCCCCCTCTGTGCTTCATTGACAATATGCTTATTTGACAACGTGTCTCAAAAAAAAGAAATAAAAAAATTACAAAAATATTTTTTTTATGTTTTTAATCTACTTCTTTAACACCAGTTGGCGTTAAGGTAGCTCTACAAAAATAAACCATGTCCTGATATGTTTCCAAAACTGTTTTTTACAAGTTTTCTTTTGAATAATAATTTATATAAAGTTTTCAGTCGGACAAAAATTAATTTTTAATTGAAATCTAATTTCAAGCATAATAATTTTATTTGTAACGCAAGAAATAATTTTATTTTAGATGCAAGAATTTTATTTGTAAAGCATGAATTTTATTGTCAGTACCCATTAGAATATGGAATACAACCAATTCTTATAAACTAAAGAGTAAAGACATGAGGCACGTTGATCAAATTTAATCGTCAAAACAAACCGGGTTTAGTTCACGAAAAAACTTCTTTTCTTGGAGACATTTCATCTTCCAATATATATGCTATTCTGGGTAAAGCAAGTGGCCAGAATTTATTGATTTTCAAGCTTATTTTAAACCCATAGATTAATAATAAGACAGATAAAATACTAGATATCGTCTTTTCAAGCTTTAGACAAATCTGACATAATTACTAATCAAATTACTAATCATTTATATTGACATGTCATGAAAAAAAAATAACGACAGTTCAAGACATTATTGAAAAAATTGCTTCTCCGAATCAAATTCTTTCTGTCTTCCTTACTATCAAATGATTTTGTAATTTTACATTAATATCGAAAAACCTAAACCTATGCTCAAAAGAATTGTAAGGTATTTCCCCTTTTATCATATTGAATTATGTTCATCCCTGGTCGGGAATATATATTGATCCCTAGTTTGGATTTAATTGATCCCTGGCTAGAATTATATTGATCTCTGGTTTGGATCATATTGATCTCTGGTAGGGATCATATTGATCTCTGGTTGAAAATATAATTATCCCTGGTTGGGAATATATTGATCCCTGGTTGGAATTATATTGATTCCTGGTTGGGAATTTATTAATCCCTGGCTGGGAATATATTGATCCTTGATTGGGAATATATTGATCCCTGGTTGGGATTATATTGATCCCTGGCTAGAATTATATTGATCTCTGGTTGGGATCATATTAATCCCTGGTTGGGAATGTATTGATCCCTATTTGGGAATATATTGATCTCTGGTTGGGATCATATTAATCCCTGGTTGGGAATATATTGATCCTTGGTAAGGATTATATTGATCTCTGGACGGGATTATATTGATTCCTGGTTGGGAATATATTGGTCCCTGGTTGGGAATATATTGATCCCTGGCTACGACATTCTCCAAAAGCATGTTAAATAATTTAGGTTTAGATATTTACAGAACAAGATCAATAGTTTAACTATGCTTAACAATCCTTTTAGGGAGACATACAACTTATTAGACTCATTTGTTTTCAATGTAGGATGGGGAGGGTCAGGAGTGGAAGGGGGGGGGGGTATGGAAGGAATGATTCTAAAGTGGGCTCCAATGGGAAGATGAGCTTTAATGGGGTAAAGGGGGGAGGGATGCGAAAAAATTGCACAAGTGGAAGCCACAGTTGCGCGTGCAATTACGCATAAGGGAAATCTAATGTTCCAAGCTTAAAAAGTATTTAAAACAAATTGTTCAACGGTTAAACAGTATTAAAGCAACCAAATGTCCCACGGTTAAAAAGTGTATAAACCAATTGTTCTAAGATAAAAAGTATAGAAACCAATTGTTCTAAGATAAAAAGGTATATAAACCAATTGTTCCAAAATAAAAAAGTATATAAACCAATTGTCCTACGATTAAAAAGTGTATATACCAATTGTTCTAAGATAAAACAGTATAGAAACCAATTGTTTTAAGATAAAAAAGGATATAAACCAATTGATCTAATATTAAAAAGTGTAGCACCACATTGTTTAAGAATGAAATGTACATAAACCAATTGTTCTAAGTTTAAAAAGTATAAAAACCTATTGTTCTAAGATAAAAAAGTGTAGAAACCAATTGTTTTACGAATAAAATGTATAGAAACCAGTTGTTCTAAGATAAAAAAGTATAGAAACCAATTGTTCTAAGATTAAAAAGTATAGGAACCAATTTCTATCCAGCAGCTGGTCGTTCCAAGATTTAAAAAATATTTACAGGATTACCCACAAAAAATGATACTCTAATGACGACCTAAAACTCATTAAATATGACAATCTAGAGAATAAGTTTGTTTATCTGCCTCGAGTTCAGGCTTTTTTGGAGGAAGCCAAGATTGTAAGAAAAATTGCAGAATAAATTCTGTACAGTCGTCTGTGAAGTCTCTATATTTCATGGGTAACACAGTACCAGAGATAAGAGAGTTGCAGAGATCGATTGAAACCTATGATATGCGATATTTTTCACAGCATGTATCATTATGTACAAGTACTGTACACGACCAATCAGGAGACATCTGTATTCAGGGATATTTAAGGATCCTTTGAATAGGAAATACAAAATCTTCAAAAATAGACAAAATTTATAAATGTTATGTTTTATGTTTATAATTGGAGTATTTCTTTAAAAGTTGTAAAACTTAACCCCTGAATGCAACAAGCGGCCGTGAGATGTCAGTCAAAAAACATTACATGGAACCGTAGCATGGCGTGCCGGGACATTAAAGGTCTGCTCATCCTATCCAGGTAGAGTGTATGAGCAGTCTATGTCGTCTCTGCCCAGTACCTAACAACCAATTGTTTATTTAGGATGCAGCTCAGTACATGTTTATACAACTAATTAAAAAGTTCAAGTACAGAACGGAAAATGTTTAATTAGAAAATGTTATGATTTTTATCTTTCTGATGAAAAATTATGAAATTTTAAAAAGTCTCCGTTTTTACAGCCTGTACATTGTAGGTTTAACAATCTTTTAAATCATGGGGGGGGGCAAATGACTGGGCATCCACCCTTCTTTGGACAGATATGACGTAATATTTTTTCAATTGATTTAATGGTCAATTCACTTCACTGCATGGAACCATTTAAAGCCCAACTTGCGGATAATAGATACATATTAAGCATAAATAGATTACACCAATTTGTCAACTTCAAAACTTTAAAATAGAAACATATGTTTAATCTCACAAATTGTAAATAATAAATATACAGGTTTATAAATTCATTTCAGTCTAGATACTCGAGTGTATAAAAACTAAAAATACCACTTAAGGACCGCGTCGAGTTGTAATTGTAATTGACTCTGTTAAAAGGGGGATGCCAGATTCACAACAAAATCCTTGAAAGCTTTTTTAAAAATAATAATTTTTTTTAGCTTTAAACGTGTTTGATTTTGATAAATTTTACCATAAAAATAATTAGTTATCAAATTATGAACAAAAACCACAGTATATAAACTCTTTAAAAATGGAAGTTCACTTAAAATTACCTTTATATGCCAATGCCTACGGAATTATAAAAAAATCAAATTTTGAAAAAAATATTAAAAACTTTTTTTACCCGATGTTTCCTTTAAAAAAATTCAGCCAATTTGGTCCATCCGTTTTGCCAGCTATAATAGCTGAGCCTGGCATTTATATATATGAGCGAAGCGCTTTATTATAAATTGATAAGTATCTTTAAAAAATACAATGTTGGCTTTTTTTCAAATTATTATTTAAAGCAATTATGGTAATTTTACCTGCGAACATTTATCATCATTATACATTAAAAACATTAATTTAGAAGAACACGGTATACATTATGCAGGACAGTTCATACACAAGAGAGAAATGTCTTTTCATTTATTATTTCAATTTTATGTAGGTAATTTTTTTAGAAACAACTTATAGAAGAATTAGACTTGAAACTTTTTAAAAATAACAAATTAATTACACCGGTGCCTCTTTAATAAATTGAGATCAGACATAAAAGGGTCGTCTTCTTCTATTGGTATTGTTGTCATTAACAGGTGGCGGGGCTTGAACCGGTTCTGCCTGCTGGTTGGTTGTGTTGGCGTGGCGGTACCACAGATCATAAACACTATACTGTGTCTGCAGGAAGTGGAAGGATCCATCAAAGGGAAAGGTGAAATCTATAACTGGGAAAAAATATGCAATATCCGCTAAATATGCATCATAGCGTGGCTCCTCCTCATCGGCTAGAACATCATCATAGCCTATGGTATCCTCATTACCTTTGGTATCTGAAAAATAAAATCAAAATGCTGACAGAGATTTTTGAAAGAAACCAAGAAAGAATCTTCCAAATAATTAGTGAGCTCTTTTACAGTGATTACATAGGATAACGACTTTATAGCAATTACTTAAGTGTATTTGATTTTGTTACAAAGCAAGTAGTTTATTTTTTATAAATATTTTTATTTTATAAATTGTTATTAGGTTCTAGGCGACACACAGAAAAACTAACAAAAAAATCACAGGTTTCGCATTGAATAAGAGTTATTTATTTATCAGAAATCGTTAATTTATTTGGTGATAAAAAGACACATTTTTAAAATCGGCAATCTTAACAATGTTAGTAATGTTAAGAAGATTGGTTTTTCTCAGGAGATCATAAGAATAAATTTCGAATTGATTTCTAAAGTTTGACATTTTTCAGCGAATAAAAAAGTAAACAAAATCGACAAAAGACATTAAAGAAAGCTTCAGCAAAATTAAATGAGTTTTTTTTGAGAATTATAGACGGCAAAAAATGTGAAAGATGAATACATCATCTACATACATACTTTGCTTGTCTGTCTATCTGTCGTCTGTCCGTTTGTTTCCAATAATTACGTCAAAACAGCTGAACCGATCAGGCCCAAATTTTGTGTGGGACATCATGTGGCCCAAGGGAAGGTTTTTGAATGATCAAAATTTCAAAAAATTGCCTCCAACAAAATTCGATTGTCATCAAATTTCAAAAAAATTATGAAATTTTTTTATGTTCACAATTTAAATAGATGGGCGCAGAGCGCCATAAAAGCCTAGTATTACATAAATTCAAGTTTTAATTGACACTTGTTAAATCCCTAATTAAGTGAAATGGGTATGTTTACACTGCACAATTGCTTTATTCCATGCTCATCGGACTTTTTTAAGTCATTAGTTGATTCTAAAAGTCGTCTTCCTATTTCAGAGTCTTCTAGATATTGCCGTAGCTAAATTGAATTTTGTTACTACTAAAACTCAATAGAAGATGCTATAATGATTATCTGAATTGGCCTAATTTTTCTCTACTCAGGTTTCAATTGTGCACCGGCTTGAATCTTGAAACATGAAATACTATTTATGTGGAGCAACCCATCATTGAGCCGCGGCTTAAATTTTTAAAAAATCTTTAAATTCTGCCTCTGATGAGATATTTTTCAGAAAAAAAGGTGTACTTTTATCAGTGAACCACACAAGGTCAAGAAAAAGACTCTTATAGTCCTGATTATGTCTCTTACCAATATGAATTGACTGAGCAAGTTGGAAGTCTGTTGTTGAAATGAGACCAGCAACTGAAGCAGAAACATTACGCTTTTTACGCAAACCATCCTGAGAAAAAAACAAGGAAAAAAATGCTAAAAACACTTCTAAAAGACAAACTCCTGAAGTGCAAACTTCCGATGGAGATTACCTCCTTAAGGAGAAATTCTTGAAAGAAAAACACCTGAAAGAGAAACTCCTAAAAAAACTCCCAAAGGAGAAACTCCTTAAGGAGTAACTACTGAAGGAGAAACTCCTGAAGGAGAAACCCCTGAAGGAGAAACTCCCGAAGGAGAAACTCCTGAAGGAGAAACTCCTGAAGGAGAAACCCCTGAAGGAGAAACTCCTGAAGGAGAAACTCCCGAAGGAGAAACTCCTGAAGGAGAAACTCCTGAAGGAGTAACTCCTGCAAGGACAAAATCCTTAAAAAACTCAAAACAAGCTCCAGGCATTGAATTTACTGGCCACAGTGGCTAGAAAAATTAAACCTAGAATTATTTTTTAAGATGGAAAGATTTGCCAGTCGAAGGCTCTAGTTGTGAGTACTGCAGCTAAGAAGGGCCAAGAAGCCACTAATTAAACCATAAAAATAGAAGATATATGGCCCTAAAATCAAATATTTGGGTAAAGATTGGGGGATTTGCAAGCAGTAGACTAGAAACCATAATGAAGAAAAATCCAACCCCCACCTTATATCTGTAGAAGTACAAAAAGTACTCCATCTGTATAAACTCCCAGATGACTCCAAGCAATCCAACTTTGCTCTTTTCTTTGGACTCTCTCCGAACTATTCTCTGTTCTTCTTCCTGAACAATTAATGCAGTAAATAAATAAATTATGAAAACAGAATAACGAATGGAAGTGTTTTAAAATGGCGACTGATGTTAATTTTTCTGTTTAAATAAAATAAAACTTACTGAAAGTAAAACTAAATTTTTTTTTCATCTGACGTTTGAGGTTACTCAAAATTGTTTAAATAATATTTTCTGTACAATAAAACCATTAAAAATAAATAAAAACAAAATATAAATCGAAACTTGAAACCGTTTACACTCTTTGTTAAAATTAGTATACTATCTACACAATTAAAGTTTAAGGATGAAACCAGAAACATATATATTTTCAACTAAATAAAGTTTTTCAATTTTTAAACTCACCTCAGGGTCACCATATAGAGAGATAAACATGGCTTCGGCATACTCTTGAGAACTTCCAAATTCCTTCAATCACAAAATCTTTGTTTAGGGATAGTCAACATTTTTCAAAGTGATCCGTCTTTTTTCATAAAAAGTCCAGTTTTTGTAAAACTTTTAAGTCTTATTTTACTCTTTTACAATAAAAGACTTGAAGACATAAGTGGCCAACATGAAAGAAGAAGAGGTAGTAATATGAAACCTTTGGCCACAATTGTCTTTAAAAAAAGTGTTTTTCCTAAATGAAAAAGAAGAAAAAATAAATCAGTTTACTTTAAAAAGTTATTCTATAAATATTCCTTTATTCGCAAAGATAAGTTCATTCAATATTTATAGTAGAATGGTTATCTTCTAACGCTGTTATAATGAAACTTTGCATAATCTGCGCATGAAAGATAAAGTTCACATTAAATAAAAGTTAGTTTACCTCTGCACTTGCTAGTTGTTTAGCCTGGTTTGCTAGTTTACAGTTTTGATCCATCAGCCAGCTTGCTAGCAGCTCTATCCAAGCATGGATTAGCTCGGACGAAAACTCACTGTCTAAATATGTCAAGAATGGTGCAATTCTTCTAACTCTAGGCGTGCCAAAAACTTTCTTTGGGCCGTGTGTTGACGATTCTTAGACACAAACATACAATAATGCAGACATCTAAACAGACGAGATATATACTAGGTTTGCTCACGGCCCTTGTCTAGTAGCAAATTAGGCTGCAAACTGTTGCACTTCAATTAAGTAGCAATTTTTCATTGGTATTATTTCGCAGATTTCTCTTTTGCGCATTTTCAAATAAAATAAATTTCGACATTTTTTCCAGGCAAAACTTTTCATCTTTCATTATCCATACTTCCATCGACCTTCTCTGGGGTCATGTGATTTAATACATAAAATTGTGGGCCAGATCAGTTCAACTGTTTAGATGTTTTTTGGATACAAACACCTGACAAACAAGTAAAGTATATACAGGGTGTCTCACGAAACATGACAGTTGATAAATAGTTTTGAATGTCGTCCTCATAAACTGTATTAGATATTAAAGGTTTTTTAGTTTATTTCGTTAAAAAATCTTTTCCTCAAATATATTTTACTTTGAAATCAAGTTTACTAATACTTTATAATATGACTCCTATATAATATTTTTATTATTGTCTTTGGTATCAATCAACTTAATATATTATGGAAGATGATATTCTAAACATTTACCAACTGTCATGTTTCGTGGGACACCCTGTGCGAGAGATAGATAAAGATTACCAAGAGTTTTCCAGAATAATTGTTGAAACTGAATCCATCCGGGTTGAGTTAATCCACTCTATAATAGATTGCTATGATAAGGAATCAAGTTTTTAAATCCTATATTTTAAGGTTAGGAACTTATGCTATTCATTTAACAAAATATGCTATTCATTTAACAAAATATGCTATTCATTTAACAAAATATGCAATTCATTAACACAATATGCTATTCATTTAACATTTAAGTTTATTACATCTTTTATTCACATTTTCTTCAATTGTTTGAACCAGCTAAAACAAACCCCCCTAGTCATGAAATATCAATACATTCATTAATTCATTTTGTAAACTTTTTCATTTAATGATTTGCAATTGCTTTAAAACATTTAATGTATATTAGTGCTTTTAAAAATAGATGTATTTATTACATACATAAAATATCATAAATTGCCTCCTCAGCCTCTCATGTATGAATGAATTTTTACAACATATATTGTAATGTACAGTATTGTATTCCACGATAGGGAAATTGCACTGCACCCTTTATTCCAGAATTAAAATCACGTATCTTTTAATATTTAAATGAATGTACAATTTTTATATTTACCGTTCCATGAGTTATTAGAAAAGCCAAGATAAAGAATGTTTTAACTAACATTTTATCACTGACAACTTGTAATTGTTCGTCTAAAACATGGGTCTAAAATCATATGTAAATCACGTACGTTTAGATATTTATTTTTTGATACTGGTGAACATCTGTGCAAGACCATCTAACAAATACATATATACATCTACAGTACAGTGTACACAGTGTACACAGCACAGTGTACAGTATGTCTCACGAAACATGAAAGTAGCATGACAAATTAAAGGTAGTCTTTGATCTAAGTAAAAAAATTATGTAAACATAATTTTGAATGAAAATTCTGGAATTCACAAACACAAAATAAACCTAGTCCCGGCATTTTCAAAACTTGGAGTGGAGCACCGGGAAACATAATCTAATCTTTATTTGAATATAGGCTCCTTAATTATCATTTCTTATTTGAAAAACAAACATCTAAACTATCAAAATTCAAAACAACCTTATTTCCACTTTACATGCTGGTTATGACTGTTATGGTATAAGAAACGTTCGGGGACTGTGATTTTGATTTTAAAAGACCCTCCAATAAAAAAGAGACTTGCTCATACCCTTGCAACATTAATATCACAACAAATGTAGATTGAAAAGTGTTTAATTCTGATAATTTCTCCATTGAATCTGTAGTATAAATTTAGTCAATGTGTAGGAAAAGCACTCTGTAAGAGAGGGTTATTTGAAATTACGTTTACAGTCCCTTTAAATACTAATCATCTTTCAGAAAAATGACTGAGGATTCGTCTAGATCAGTCAGGTCCAGAGTGTTTGGTCGGATTGGTTTAATATTTGGTTTGGTTTCTGCTAAAACATTTATCATCTTATTCTGCTTATCCTCTTCTATCTTCGTCTTCTCATCCTGAAAAATACTATTCTCAAATATGGCTTTTACACCTTATCCGTTACACATGTACACAGACTACTCTTTACTTTTTTGAAAAAATAAAAATAAAATGTTTTAAGAGACATAAATGTTAGACATAAAATAAAAGGTTCCTTTTCGAAATCTATATCTTAGCCAAAATTACGAACATATTTTTGTTTTTCAAGCTAAAACTTGATAACTTCCAATTTAGTCTCCTTTTTAAAAGTTTTTTTTCTGACTTGAAAGTGTAATTCTGATAATTTTTCCAATGTTTCTCTGAATCAAGAAATGCGCAAATATCACTTGTGTAGAGAAACCACAACTCTAATTGATAGGACAAAGCTTTTAAGGTACCGTTGCGAATCGGATATACCACTCTTTTTTGTTAAAGAGTCACTTGAAATTAGGCATACAGTCCCTTTATAAAGTACAAATGAATCTGTGATCTATAGTTAGTATATATCTGCTGATCCATTATCAATCTATACTTCTGTATACTGTATACATGTAAGGTGTATATATCGTAATCTACTTATACATATATCTCATTACATTATACAGGGTGTCCCAATAAACATGGGAAATCAGTGACGAATTCGATATCGTCTTTTTAAATAATTCTTTGATTTAGTATTGTGATACCTACTGAGAAACCTGTAATCTATAAGAGTTTCGTCTGCTATGTTCACATTTTGTTTTTTTATGTTTTGACTCCATACGGTTGTACTTAGTAAAACAAGAAAATTGCAGTATACAAACAGAGTAAACTTGTCCGTCTTCACTGTTCATCTTGCGGAGACATTATAAACTCATCTTTACAGCCATTTACCGTTTTCATAAAATAAACTCTAGCAGACATAATAATATTATGGCTTTTGAAATTAGGTATTACAATGCTAATTCATAACAAAGACGATATCCAATTCGTCACTGAATTCCCATGTTTTTTGGGACACCCTGTATATCTGGTATTAAATCCTTCTATCCTCCTGTTTATCTGGTATTTTATCCATCTATCCTCCTGTATATCTGGTATTATATCCATCTACCCTCCTGTATATCTAGTATTATATCCATCTATCCTCCTGTATATCTGGTATTATATCCATCTATCCTCCTGTATATCTGGTATTCTATCCATCTATCCTCCTGTATATCTGGTATTAAATCCATCTATCCTCCTTTATATCTGGTATTCTATACACCTGTCCTCCTGTATATCTGGTATTATATTCACCTGTCCTCCTGTATATCTGGTATTTTATCCACCTATCCTCCTGTATATCTGGTATTTATCCATCTATCCTCCTGTATATCTGGTATTTTATCCATCTGTCCACCTGTATATCTGGTATTCTATCCATCCACCCTCCTGTATATCTGATATTCTATCCATCTATTCTCCTGTATATCTGGTATTCTATCCATCTATCCTCCTGTATATCTAGTATTATATCCATCTACCCTCCTGTATATCTGGTATTCTATCCATCTATCCTCCTGTATATCTGGTATTTTATCCATCTATCCTCCTGTATGTCTAGTATTCTATCCATCGATCCTTCTGTATATCTGGTATTATATCCATCTATCCTCCTTTATATCTGGTATTATATTCATCTGTCCTCCTGTATATCTGGTATTATATTCACCTGTCCTCCTGTATATCTCGTATTCTACTTATCTATTCCCCTGTATATCTAGTATTTTATCCATCTATCCTCTGTATATCTGGTATTATATCCATATATCCTCCTGTATATCTGATATTCTATCCATCTATCCTCCTGTATATCTGGTATTCTATCCATCTATCCTCCTGTATATCTGGTATTCTATCCATCTATCCTCCTGTATATCTGGTATTCTATCCATCTATCCTCCTGTATATCTAGTATTCTATCCATCTATCCTCCTGTATATCTGGTATTTTATCCATCTATCCTCCTGTTTATCTAGTATATCTAGAAGATACCTGGAGAAGATCTGCTTGAGTCAGCAAATCTTCTGGTTTTTCTCCAGGTTGCTCCAGACAATCTTGGCAGAGGGTAATGAGACCCAGCATCAAAAATTATCAGTTATTCTTACATTTATACATTTACACAATATTTACATAGAACTTCCTTCATTCATGCCATTCACAAATCTTTTTATTCTTCAGCATCGAGCACGCTTGTTTTGTATAGTCCATAAGAATAAATTATTATAAATGCGAAATATCAATTTTTAAACGGTCAACAAGTTATTGGAATTTCTAGGATGGAACCCTAAATGATAAACTCGCTTTAAGATAAAAATTAAATAAAAAGATTATTTAGTTTATAATTTCATTACTCTCTGGTCCATTCTTCATCAGTGTTTCCATTTTCCTAGATAATAGATTACATGTTTTCAAAATTATGAATAGATAAATTAACGTTAGAATGTTTTCTTCAATTTTCATTACTGTTTAAGGATTCATTCTTTAGTACTACAGGATTCATTCTTTAGTACTACAGGATGCATTCTTTAGTACTGCAGGATGCATTCTTCAGTACTGCAGGATGCATTTTTCAGTAATGCAGAATTCATTCTTCAAATTTGGGATGCATTCTTTTGTACTGCAGATTGAATTCTTTTGTACTGCGGATTGCATTCTTTTGTACTGTAGATTTCATTCTTCTGTACTGCAGGATGCATTCTTCTGTACTGTAGATTGCATTCTTCTGTACTTCAGATTGCATTCTTCTGTAATACAGATTCCATGCTTTTATACTGCAGGATGCAAATATAATAGTACTATAGACCCATAATAATATAATAGTAATAGACCCATATTAATTGTAGTTTCAGAATTTTGATTATCTCAGTTGAAAACTCATGTTCCATTTCCAGCAATGTTTGGAATAGAAAACTCATGTTCCATTTCCAGCAATGTTTGGAATAGAAAACTCATGTTCCATATAGAAAACTCATGTTTCATTTCCAGCAATGTTTTGCATAGAAAAAACATGTTTCATTTTCAGCAATGTTTGGCATAGAAAAAGAACTGATTTTATTGAAACTGTTGATAATGGAAATGGACCCATTCAAATAAGAATTGAAGCACCATAATACAATGAGAATCAGAGAACTGTGGAATTCAAGTAATAATTAAGTGTATTTAATGTTGTTACAAAGCAAATAGTTTTATTGATAACTTATAAAAATGGATCTGTTTACACTGCACAATTACTTTATAATCTCATGGTTATTGGACTATTTACATTAAAAACTTAAGTATAAAAGTAGTCTTAATATTTCAGAGTTTTCTGGTTCTCTGTATAAAGTCTCCAAATGTGAAATCCTACTTTGGTTTAATTGGGTCTGTATCTGCTGCGTAGAGCTTTGTTTTAGTTTGATCTACGTCTGCTGCGTAAAGTGGAGAGGATTTTATTGTCTGGAAGATTGAATTAATTCTTGTTCTTTGGGGCTCATCATCTGAATTTTGACTAAATAGAAAAAATAAGAATCATAGGCCTTAACCATGTGACTTTAACGCTTATTTTTCCCTTGATGACAATTAAACCAAGGACTTTGGAAACCTCATTCTTTAATTCAGAGTTCAAGAGTTTCATTTGTGCCAGGGATATTTCTCGATTTCATCTATCTATATATAAATTTGGCTTGTCTGTCTGTCTGTCTGTTTGTATCCAATAAACGTCAAAACGGCTGAACCGATCGGGCCCAAATTTTTTGTGGGACATCTAGGGACCCCAGGGAAGGTTTATGAATGATTGAAACATTAAATATTTGTCTCCATCAAAATTCGATCTTCATTAAATTTTTGAAAATTTTGAAAATCCACGAAATTTTTTGTGAAAATCCGCGAATTATTTTTGTTTTGTTTTACTATGTACACAAAGAGAACATGTTCACAATTAATTTAGAAGATGGGCGCGAAGCGCCCTCTAAGGCTAGTATATATAAATTTGGCTTGTCTGTCTGTTTGTTTGTATCCAATAAACGTCAAAACGGCTGAACCGATTGGGTCCAAATTTTTGTGACACCTCGCGTTATCCCAGGGAAGGTTTATGAATGATAAAAAAAATGTGTTATAAAGGTTTTTAATTTTGTAAAAAATTTAAATTTAAATTTTAAATCCGCAAATTTTTTTTTTCTTGGTTTTAAAATGTAAACAAAAAAAATCGTTTACATTTAAATAGAAGATGGGCGCGAAGCGCCCTAAAAGCCTAAAAAGAAGGGCGCGAAGCGCCTTGAAATTCTAGTATATTTAATTTCTTAATTTAGAAGTTTAAGCAGGGATTTTAAGTTTAGCGGCCTTCCATTAAAAGTGGGGCATGCCGTAAACATTAAATGGTACCTTGCAACCTTAATCTGATCAATAACTTGGAAAACAATGTTCTATTTTTTTAAAGCATGAAATGTACAATTGTCAGTTTTGCAAATGAAAATAATTAGTTTTCATATACAAAAATATGCATTTCAATTAATCTTTGATCATGGGTACCGTTGTGAATAGGAAATTCTCCTTGTTGCATTTAGGGTCATTTAAAATTAAGCTTACATTCTTTTTAAGAAAGAACTATATAATGACAACTTAGAGAAGAAACTTTAGAATACTATAGGTGTGGTTTTCATAAAGTGGTGAAAGTATACCTCTTAATCACATCTGGGTTTTTATCCTTAATGCCAAGATGTTTTCTGGCAGTGTCGCTGATGTTTAAATTGTTATTTCTTTTTAGTTTTGGGTCCAGCATTGTGGTTTGTTTAGCGGGAGGTAATATAAGAAACTTGTCTTTCTGGGAATCTTTTTCTCTGAATTCTTTTTCAGGTGTATTTATCCAAGGATCATGAGATTCATGAATAAGTTTGTGTTCTAACTCTTCCATCTTAATAATATCTAGCTGATGTCTCGCAGCCTCTATTTGGTCCTGCAAGGTGGATTCAGTGTAAGGATTAGTTACATGTTCCTCAAACTTAGGAGAGGTAGAGGGGTCAAGTTGTTGGACACATTTCCTTGACTTTAATATTTCTCTAACATTAATAGCATCACTTGATAACTTCTTGTGGATCTCAGAAGAAGCAGATCTTTTTATTTCTGTAAAATGATCTTCAATATTATCCATCTTTTTGTCTCTGATAATCTCAAGCTTACTTTCCAACTGAATTAAATTTCTCTTTAATTCATCATTTTTATCTTTTAAAACTTCTGTTGTTTCTTGACGTGGAAGGTTCACTTTTCTTTTTGTAATTTCAGTTTTCCTTTGCTGCTCTAATTTCTGGTCCTCTTTTAAAACCAAATGAGCTTTTTCTTTGATTACTTTCTCCAAACCAGCTCTTTTATCAATTCTTTTCTCTAATTCTATTTCATCATTTAATGCCATCTTTTTCCTTTTTAACTCCTCACTCTGTTTGATTTTATCATAGCCAACCACAAAATTATTTAGCTTTGATTCCAGCTTTTGACTCTTTAGGATATCTGGAATTGTTGTTTCAATTTTATGAACGTTTGCTATTTTTTGGATCCTTATTTCAGGAGCTGGAGGAGGAACAGGCTCATTAATATCATCAAACTGTAAAATTGAATTTTCACTTTGATCTGTCCGCTTTTTTGCTTTAGTATGCTTAATCTCAACATCTGGAGTATTTTCATTTTCAGTTTCAAGAACAGGTAGCATAGTATTATGATGTCTAGGACTATAACGTTTCAGACTTCGAATTCTCATTTCCCGTGTCATACCTATTTCAAGTGTTGAAAGGTCAGTTTCACTTCCAGAGTCTAAAAACGAGTCCTCATAATCACTTGTTGTTATTAGGCTCAAGTCCTTAAGTTGCTTTGATTGATCTTGTTTTCTTTGTTCTTTTATCTTTGGAGTTTCTTTTGCACTTGGAAACGACTTACTTTTCCTCAGGGGTGTTTCCCTTTCATTACTTTGCTCAAACTTGCCCTTCAGTGCTCTGTAATAAATCATTGCCATGATTTCATTACTTACCTCAATATGCATATTGTCCAATTTGATAATATTGGGCCCTTTTTTCTCAGAATTTTCAGTGTATCGAGGAGGCTCATTTGCTGGAACAAGATTGTGAAATCTATCAAAAGTCATAGATGGAACAAGATTTGGTAAGTTCAATTTAGTTCTTAAATCCTGTCTTAGCTTACACCTTCTCTCATATGACAAACTAATCCTCTTCAGGTTGTGGTCGATGTCTGATCGTGTGCTCGCCATTCTTCCTGATTCCAAGATGCTGGGAACATGTCCAAGAATGTGAGTTTCAATTTCTTTAGAATCTTCATACTTCCTAGACAGTTCAGACTGAAGGTAGTGCATCTCAGTCAAATTTGTCGGGTTCTTGATGAAACTTGAGCATCTGTTCCTGTCATAATAGGCAAGCTCTTCATCAGAAGATGCCAACTCAACTTGGTGAAGGTTTTGAAGTGAAATACTACTTCTCATCTTGGGCAGATCATTAAAGCTATTAATTGTATCCTCAATAGTTTGAAATGGAACATTGGAATTAAGAAAATTACTGTTGCTAAAATTTCTTCCTTGAAGGTATTGGTTGCTGAGATCTGGTACACTGTTTGTGAAGTTAGGGTTGACAAACTGAGCTCCCATTACCTGGTTAGACTGCTGTAACCCTAAAAAATACAAAGCACAGATATTAAAGTTTTTTCTACTAAATTTACTAAATCTTTGTACCTGTAACATTTGAATTGGTGTGAAACTGAGGATTAAGAAACTGCTGAAGGTTTTGATTTTGAAATCCCAGATGTTGGTTTATGAGTTGAGTTCCATGTTGTGGCTGCTGAAGATCTATATACCCTTGTGTTTGAGGATTTTGAAAGGTTTGCTGTTGGTTTCCTTGATAATTTTGGGAAGAAACCCCTGTAAAACTTTGTGGATGGACGGGTTGAATGTTTTGGGGTTGCATGCCTTGCAAGTTTTGTTGTTGTCCACTGTAACTGCTTTGTTGATAAATATCTTGATAGTTTTGTTGTTGGAGGTTATTGAGTAAAGCTTGTTGATTATAATTAAACAAAAGATCTTGATGCTGATATCCTCCCAAAGCATTTAAAGTCAATGGGTCTATTGTTGAACTAAGTTGGTTCATAACAGGTTCAGGATACATATATGTAACAGAAGGACGACTATAAGAGCTGTAGTGAGATTGAATTGTATTTATAGGCTCAGACCATGGTCTCTCTGGATAATGCTGTGGAGTCACAGCTACGTGAGGATTTCTTGATCTTCTTCTGTGGGATGATGGATAGGATGATCTATATTCTACATAATATTTAAAAAATCAATACATAGTATTTGTCAATTTATTTAAAATCAATTTGTACCTGAGTGCGCAACCTTTGGGAATACTGCTTTGTTAGTGTTGAGTGTATTTCCCAACCCATATTGTCCAATCACTAGCTGATTGTTGTGGTGCCTCTATGAAAATGATTCATAACCACAAAAAAACACTATTTAGAGATGAAAGAGGTAAAGCTCAGGACAAAATATAATTTTAAAATACTTGAACCTTCTAGATTATAGCACTGCGAACCAAAACAATAGTTATTATATTATTCTAAAATATTATAATAATAGTTATAAATATGTATTATGACTTGATCATTCCTGAAAGGAGTTGACAAGATCAGAGTAAGTATCTTGAGGGTCAAGTAATGCTGCAACTTTTCTAGATATGTTTTTACATTATTTTACATTTTAAATTAAAAGAATTTAATTACCTGGCAGTGGTATCAGGACTAGGGGTCCAGTCTGGCATTATACCACTTGATTGTGCTACTAGAACAGTATGGAAAGCATCAGAAAAGTTTAAACAAATGTAATGATTACGAAAGTCTACAATCTTCTGAGTTAGTTCTCCTAAAACTTTTAAGGTTTTAAACTACTAAGATTTTATGCAGGTTCTCACATTAAAAAACTTTTTCATAAAATAATTTCTTTTTTTTAAACAATGCTAAATTTGTATTCTAGAAAATATAAGGAAAAAGCTAACAAAAATAAAATTATTTTAAAATGGTTGTTTTGGTCCTTGTTGGCAATTTTGAAATTTGTAAAACCTTTAGACTTTTGTGGAACCTTTAAAGGCCCAAAAAATAATAATAAATAAAAAGTTTTTTTAAAAATCAAACCAAGTTATTGTCCATCACTGGTCTTGATTAGGTATTTCTTCCTTGGTACAATAGGATTAAAAATTGTAACAATATAGTTTAATCTAATTAACTTTGCATTAATTAGGTGAACAAAACTAACCTGTGAGTTCTAATGCTGGCACAAACTCAACAAATGGAAGTCCTGTGATGGGATTAATTCTATCAAGATTTTGAACAGGCTTCATGGCAACCTTCCAATACATAAGTACTTCATGATTTTATCATTCAAATAAATATAAATCTATCAGTAGAAGCTACCTTGGGATTTAAGTATTCATTTGGATCCTTAACAGTTCCTTGTAAAAGATCAGGGTAGGTCATCACTGGATGAATTGCTTGTGGTTTTGCTAGATCATAAAGTGATTCTGTAAAGCGGGATATCTCAGACCTAAACCTAGTGAACAACAAACATTTTTCATAAGCATAATTTTCACTTTGTATGTTAATTGTTTACATTGCACCTGGTAGGTGTGGCTCTGTTTGTTGAAGCTGAGCGTCTTGAGGAGTAGCCATTTTGACTTTCCGAACTGCAATTATGGTATAATTTGCTTATGCCAACTGTGCAATAAGATCACAAGGTAATAAGGATAACAAAAAAGTACCTGAGGGATGTGAATGGAAGAAATGCAGATGGTGTTTCATTTCGATGGTAATTATTAAATGAGGAACTAAAAACAAATTAGCATTTTCCCATTTAAATCTTTTAAGTCAAAATTAAAACCTGAAATAGTCCTGGTTTGGAGTAGAATTTCGTTTTAGACATGGCTTCAAAGGTGTCTAAAAAAGAAATGTTCATTAAAACATTGAGACTTTTTGTAAAGAGGTGAAAAAAACTATTTGCAGACATTGGGGCAGCCCAATTGATCTTCCATTTTTTCCCCAGCTTTCAGAAATTCATGGCCTATAAATATTTGCAACATTGAAAATTTTGAATTTGTTAAATGATTTTTAAAGCATTTAAGAAAATTTGCACAAAATGTAAATTTGCAAACTTGTGGAAAATAAATTTTTAAATATGCGACAATGCAAAAATATGAATATGCAAAATTTGCAAAAATGCAAAGAAGGTTTTTGTGAGGCCCAAAAAAACACTAAAATATTTTATGTAAAAGATCTATAAGTAGATGCCCTTACCTGTCTATATCCAAACATATTTCCCCCAAATTCTGGTAGCATTGGAGATTCGCTTGAATAACCCTTATCATAAAGTTGAATAAAAATGTATAAATAGTTTATGAGAAATCAAAATGTTATATAATTACTGCACCATGAATTCATCAGAGTAAAGATCATTGAAGAGAGAATTATCAAATTCAGTGTATGGATTCTGAGCCAATCTAAAAAACAAAATTTAAAAAAAATCTAGATATTTATTTAAACTCTGATTTTATTTTTAAATAGTAATTTTTAGATGTAATTACATATTAAAAAGTATTACAATTTTTTTATATGTTACGACGTTATGTTTGCAGATAAGGTTTTCAATAACAAATTTTAATTCGATTATGAAAATACAGCTAAATAAGAAAATTTATCTGATGGAATTTAAAAACTTTCTTTTCAAATTATAAGGAATAACTCAATAGAGTTATTTGATCTTGTATGTAATCTTGAGACGTTTCAAAATTATTTAACATAAAATGTACATAGTAGATGTAAACTCGGAATTAAAATTTGGGTTTATTTTTTTTTTTGCGTGGGATTATCTGATCACAATTTTCTATCAATTTAAAATGCAATAATTGTATAAAATGTTACATAGTTTGTAGCATATATTTTTTAAGTTTTTTAATCTGTTTTAGTACCTGTTATAGTGATAGAGTTCTGGAAAACTATAGTTGCTCATCGCACTTGTAGGTCTAGAAAAGCCACTGTCCCTAAGGAAATGTGATTAATATGTCTAACTTATGCTGCAGTAGGAGATTGGCGAGTTAGTAAAAAAATTGATTTTGTTTGTTCTCAAAATTATTGGTCATATTCCATCCATTTCGTTTGTGGTCAGTAAAATCGTTAGTTCAATTAATGTAATTGTTCTATCAGTAAAAGTAATTATCGTTGTTTCAAAGTATATTGGAAAAAATCAATAAAAACTATCATTTTTAAAAAGTTTTTTTAAAAGTTATTATTAGTTCATTAAAAAAACCAATCATGTTTTCACCTTATATCTAATCCTGAGTGTCTTTGATAGTTTCCACTGTTCCTGTATCCAGGATAAAACCGGTTCTGAGATTCGGTATACGTGTTCCCGTAATCCCCAAGACTTGAGTACACATTTCTTCTTCCACCACGTGGATTCAGGGGATAGTCATGCCTGTAATCCCCCAAACTACTGTACACTTCTCGTCTTCCATCAAAATGCCTGCTGTTGTTGTTGTATCGATGGTCTTGATGTGCAAATGGATATCTTCGAGTTGGGGATAGATCCCGACTTAGATTAGTCATTAAACTTATTAATTCTTTTAATAAAATCAAGCATTTCAGGTCTTAACTTTATATGGCCTTTTAACGGAAAAAATAAACTATTACAACTTTTTACAAAATTTAGGCATTCTTATCTTAATTCATTAACTTTTTTGTCTTGTTTTTTTATGAACATATTATACAACTTTTTAAATTCATTAAACTTATCAATTGCTAATTGTTTCTGGCCTTTAAATTATTTTGACTTTAAACCACACACCCCCCCCCCACCCCCAACAAAAAAACTAAAGAAACTTTTTTCGAAATTAAAGCATTCTTATTTTTTAATTGAAAAAATTTTTTGTCTTGTATTTTGATGAACATATTGTAAAACAACCTGAGTGGGTAATAATCTCTCTCTGGAAGAATATCTCTAAAAAAAAATAATTTATCAATGTTTTGCAAAATAAGAAAACCAATTCTGCACTAAGAAGAAGAATTGAAAGGAACACAATGTTTAATTGAACGATTGCAAAAAATTGGCAAACCTTGTTGGCAAACTCCGACTTCTGTAAACATTTCTAGAGAGTCCACTTCTAACCAATTTATTACTTAAGTACAAAGGAACTGAGTTCTGGCCACAAACCCTGATTTTCTAATCGCAAAATCGTTGCAACCCGATGTTGTGACCTGTTTTGATATTTCAAACTATAAACTCTGCTATGATCAAGTAGTCAGAGTTTAAAATATAATAGGTTCACACCGCCAGGTTGAAAAGATATATGGATTTTTAATTAGAGTTTGTGGCTATTACTCAGTTCCTTGAAAGGGACATTAGACATTATTTTAAGTAGGGCTCTATTATAGAATGGCATGTGTTATTTGCAACGGTAACCATGAAAGCTTTGTCTGATCAAGATGCTGGAGATTTCCAACATTTTCTCTTTTAAAGTTGATTTTTTTCAATTGTGGTTTGTCTTTAAAGTGTATTTCTGCGTCGTAAACAATATGCAAGAAGTTTTCGGAATTAAACAATTTTCAGACTAGAAGTTTTATAAAAACTACAAACATTTAAGTTATAATCTTGAGTTTGACTCCAATGCTATCGGTGCCATTTCCAATAATCAACTAAAACTTAAAAAGTTGTTTAAAAAGGTTGAAGGAGATTTCCTCGGTTTTCTATATTCGTTTCCACGATAGTCATAGTCATCATAGTGATCTAGCTCTCTAAAACAGGATTCTTAGCTTCTTTCAATATTAATTAATCTTAACAAATTTTAACAAAAAGTTTTTGTTAATTTGAAAAAAAAGTTTGGGGCCTTGAATCACAAAATAATACTTGGTTCTTTAGTATTGGTCAGGCATAAAAACTGACAAAATTGTTCATTTATTCCTTGAATTAACATTTTTTTTCATTCAAATTTCATTTTCAAATTTCATTGAAAAATTCTGTTTAAATGACATTGTCAATTTCTAGAAGTCATGGGAACACCCTGTTACCTGATATAATCAATGGTATATAGTAATGAAAGTTCAGCTATTATCAGAAATTACATGAACCACGAATTAAAAGGATTAGAAAAAAGAGGCCAAGACAAATTACTTAATTGTATCTTGAATACTTTCTCTCATCTCGCCAAATTTTAATTAATTAATTTACTTTATTTTTAAAAATTAATTACCGTTGATTTCTTCTTGTTGGATAATTTTGATAATCTTCATCAGAATATTCATGGTGATCATTAATCTATAAATAAAGAATATTCATGTTGATCATTAATCTATAAATAAAGAATATTCATGTTGATCATTAATCTATAAATAAAGAATATTCATGTTGATCATTAATCTATAAATAAAGAATATTCATGTTGATCATTAATCTATAAATAAAGAATATTCATGTTGATCATTAATCTATAAATAAAGAATATTCATGTTGATCATTAATCTATAAATAAAGAATATTCATGTTGATCATTAATCTATAAATAAAGAATATTCATGTTGATCATTAATCTATAAATANATTTGCAAATTTTTTTGCAGATTCTAAAAGTAGAGCACAAGAGCTTTCTAATGATGTATCATTTGTCATATTTGGACATAAAACATGGGATTTAGAGGGGGGGGTCAAATTGACCCCCCCCCAGCGTATCCTGGTTTTCAAGTACCCCAGCGGGGATAGGGTTAATCATTAATCTATAGATAAAGATTTCTCATGTTGATCATTAATCCATATATAAAATATACTTATATAAATTGTATGATCTATAAATAAATAAATACTAAGATTTTCTTTTCGATAAATTCGATTTTTAGAAAGATATTTGTTTCTGCTAGTTTTGTATTTACATAAAATCTGACAAAAAAATGTCAGAAATTATAGGGTCAACCTGGTGTGACGAAAAACATAATAATTTTTGGAAATCAAGCTAACGGTACCTTTTCTAACCGAGCTAAGAATACATTTATACCCTTCAGATGTCACACAGAGCTCAGGGTGACTTACAGAAAAAAGTTAAAGGCAAGATTGTTCTGGATTAATTAATTTTTTGGCAAGATCATTTTTTTTGACAAAGTTCCATTTTTTTCAATGAAATTTTGATTTCTTGACATAGTTTAAATTTTACAAAGAAAATTTTTTTCAGAAAATTTAATTTTTACAAATTTAATTTTTGACAATGCTCAATCTTTTAAAAAAAAATTTCTTTTAAATTTAAATTTTCGTAAAATCTTTCAAGTTTAAAGTTTACCTCTTTATCTTTTTGGTAATATTCATCTCTTCTACTTCTAGTTTACCTCTCTATCTTGTTGATAATATTCATCTCTTCTACTTCTAGTTTACCTCTTTATCTTGTTGATGATATTCATCTCTTCTACTTCTAGTTTACCTCTTTATCTTGTTGATAATATTCATCTCTTCTCCTTCTAGTTTACCTCTCTATCTTGTTGATAATATTCATCTCTTCTACTTCTAGTTTACCTCTTTATCTTGTTGATAATATTCATCTCTTCTACTTCTAGTTTACCTCTCTATCTTGTTGATAATATTCATCTCTTCTACTTCTTCTTTCTCTTCTTCTTTCATTTCTGTTTTCTTCCCCTCTTCTCTCCTCCCTCTCTCCTATCCCCAGAGGTATAATTTTGGAAAAATTTTGGAAAAAATTATAAATTAGTAAGTTTAACAGTTTTCCTCTTTTTGATGGTTTTTTTCCAAATAACTTGTTTTAAAACCAAAAGTCATTTATTTACCCTATTTCAGGGAAAACTTTCCTTTTTCATTTTAAGAAAAATAAATGAGATTTTTTTTTTTTTTTNAACCTGCCTATCCCATTTCTTTCATCTCTTTCTCCTCTCCCTTCTCTTTCAGATATCCTCTCATCCTTCTCATGTTTCCCTTTCTGGTGTTGGTTTTCAGTATCATGTTTCTCTTTCTGGTGTTTTTTGTGAGATCCATGTTCTCTTTCCACAACCTTACCTTCCTTCCCTGTCATCTGGTACTGGGTGATATACTACATAATTCTTCAGACCAGGCTTTCCAATAACTAATTAGATTTTATACTTCAGATTTTCTTGAATTACATTTTGTCTGAACCATGGTTGCAAGCTCAATAATTTCATACAAGAAAAGTAATTAAATAAAAGAAAAGCTTGAGGTTTCGATGATTTCTCTTAATTTCTTTGGAAATCTAAAATCTGGCTTCTGTATGGGAAAGACTGTCAAATTGGCAACCCAAGGTACGTACAGTGGGCATACATTCAGTTCACCCATTCTTGGAGACAATAATCCTTGTTTTTCACATTCTGTATATTTTATCTTTTTACATATGTTTTAGGCTTAATTCTTTACATTACATTCACCTTCTCCGGGTTTCAACTTCACCCTCACAAATTCTAATCCTAAAATTTATTTTTAATCAAATTTTTGTTTGTTTGTAAATTCCCGTTTTAAAAATTACAGTGAGGAAAGATATGATGAATGAGAATTGTGCAAAACTGTGAAGGAGTGTGCATGAAGGCTGGGCACGTTCCAACTTTTTGTAGCCGTTTCGTTAACGGTTAGTTCCAACCGTTAAACAATTAAAATTTCAGTTAGCCCTTAATTTTAAAGATGAGAATTGAACGTTCGTTCCGTTAACGACATTTTCCGTTTTTTTTTAATTACCGTTAGTTAACTATCTCAATTTTTTCAACGGGCTTAACGGAAAATTTTCAACAATCCGATCGTATATTGCTCTAGTCGTTAACGTCGCAAAGCGACAAAAATATTAGTTAACGGTTTAAAAATCGTTAACAGCACAGCCGTTAACGGTTTATTACAGTATTAGCGGCGTTAACGGCGAAAAAATTTCGTTAACGGTTTATAAACACAGAAGACGACATTTAAAAACATCAAAACGCGTAAAAAATTTATGCAATTTTAATCACAAAATAACGATATTTACCTTTTTTAGCTTTTTAGTTAACGTTTTAAACAGTTGAATTTTTTTCTTCAAAAATGGCTAATCCGTTTCGTTAACGATTTAAAAATTAACAGTTTTGCCATTCGTTAACGTACTCTTCCGCTAATTTTCGAATTCCTCCATTTCGTTAACGAAACTTAGCCCAGCCCTAGCTCGATGGAGTGTGCTCGAAAAGATGCGCATAATTTCCTGTACATGGTCTCTCAAGTCTCAAGTTTATGTTTATATTAGTTTCACTAAACGGTGAAATCATAAACCGAAAGTTGTTCTAATTGGAGATTTCGTTTGTCACGGGAAAATGGAGGCAATCAAAATATCTAATAACAAAAGTTCTTCTATAAACTAGAAAATTTAGATTTAAAGATTATTTCTTATCAAAAATTGGTAATTTTATTCGATCATCTATTTTTATAAAATTTTTTTCATTCTTCTTATGTAGAAGAGTAATTTTTGAACTTGTTCCAAACTTTGTATTGTCAAACCTATTCTCAAAAAAAATGACAGCTTTGTAAAAATTATAAAAAGTAATTACAAAACACTTTTTTTATAAAGTTTTTTTATTGGTTTTATCATTAATTTGTTTCTTCAGGGCATTTGTACTAAAAAACAACATTGGCAAGTTCAAACCACATTATCCTGGTAGCCAGGATATATTCCTTATAAAAAAAGAAATTAAACCCTTTAAACCTTTTTACAGAAGCACCATCAATCTGAAAGTTTTGCACAATTTAAAAAAAAATATTTCTCGATCATTTTCAGTTTTTAAATATTTTGTATTTTTTTGCATATTTAAAATATCATACAAACTTTATGCATATTTTCCAAAGCACAGGACATTTTATTAGTTTAAACGAAAAGTTGTCAATTTAAACAAACCATTAAAAAAAATCTTTTCAGTTTCATCAAAATATATTGGAAAGGGTATCTGAAGTTATTCTTTTAAATGTTTGATAAAAACTATACATCAGTAACCAAACACCTGTGGAATAGGTATATGAAAACTTCCAGATTATTATTACTTTAAATAGTCCAATGAACATATAACACAGAAATTGTACAGTGTAAACAGATTCATTTAAATTAAAAACTGAATTATTAAGTTAATGATAAAACTATTTGTTTTCTAATAACATCAAATACGCTAAGTATTGCTATAATGTCGTTTTCCTCTTCCGTAGATTTCTGGTTTTAATTTTCACTGCAGATGTTTAGGGAAATCTGAATTAGTTATAATTCAGTAATCTTCTGATTTTTAAACAGTTGGGATTAAATTCGAGGGAAACATACTTGTGAAGCAAAAAGTAATAATGAAATCATAATGACGAAATAAAGGACAAACTCGATTTTCATGTTGTAAAAAATGATATTCCATTTCATGGGCTAAGAAAGCTCCAAACCTTGCTAATGTTATAATCAAAGTTTCAGGAACTCTTCCTGAGCCGCGGTCAAAAGCAAAAAGCAATTAAAGAATCCTCTTCCATTATATTATTTAGCTCAAGAACTAAAAAACTAATTTTTTTCTCTAAAATAAAAACTTTGATCGGTTGTTCATTTTCAATTAAAACCCCGGATACCATTTTCGAAACACTTAAAAGGTTTTCCATCTTTGCACATACCATGAATTCGAATCTTGGACGCGTTTTGAAACATAAACCAACTTACACGACAATTCCATAATCTCCATATTTATAAAATAGCATAAATCACTGACAAGTTTTTTATCCTCGAAAATTTGTTTCAACATTATACTTTTAAAAACCGAGATGATGTAAGGTTTCCTTCATTTTAAATAAATATTTCTCTGTTCAATTTAAATGTAAGAAAAATATAATAATATTAGAATTATTATTTTGAAATTTCAGAAAAGAATAATATTAAATCTGTATTTGAAAAACTTGTCTTGTTAGTTGTTACCAAATTGTGTAAATGCTTGAAAAGTGTCAATCATTTAAATTTGTTAAATGTCTCGAAATAACGCGACATGTTCCAATAGTTCCAAAACCTGACACTCAGTGTCAGATCTGGGCCAAATCACGGTTTGGAACTTTTTTAGCTTGCATTTACTTTTGGTTTGCATTTTTAATTATCAATCAATCGCTAGCAGAGATTAAAATGAGAAATCTGATAAATACATGCATGACCGGTAATAGAATTGAGCCAACCGCCTACATTTGCCCCTTATAAAAATAGTGCATAAAAAACGTCAAAATTAAACATGGATATTTTAGATGCTAAATTCGAATTCGATATCAAGTATAAACATAGTGCAACAAGAAATGTAATTTTTCGCCCTCATAGAAATTTCTCCAACTATTTAAGTGTCTTTAAAGAATTAGGACTTTTTTGGTTGCCATATTTTTAGATCTGGGACCTAAATTCATTAATTTGATATTCGTCACTGAACTACTAACTGCCGGTTCTAGTTTGAACCAGCGATTCAAAGTTAAAGGTTAAGGAAGGATTTGAAGCGGTTATACAAATTTCAACCGGTGGGTAAGCAGTACAAGTTCATATAATTCGATCCCTGGATACACAATTTACCTGTAGATATCTATAAAAAAAACGTAAATAATAAGATATTCAGAAATTTTTTTTAATAATAATTGAATGGTAAACATATATATTTTTAATACCAACATAAATATTTACAGATTAATGCCACATTATTCACTGCTGCAATGGAACACATCAAAGCCCTAAAATATTAAAAATAAATTTATTTTTTAAATAAAATAGAACTTGCAAACGTGCGTAAATTGTGTTCAATTTAAACTAAACTTAAAAAACAAAGAATACGATTTTTTGAAGACGACATCCTGACTTCTCTAAAAGGACAAAACACAATAAAAATATTTTCTAAATGTTTCAAAGCATAACGTCTTGAAGAAGACTAAAAATCCCAAAAAGTCCCAACACCCAGACATATTTTTCATTCAGTGTCACACTAAACATGACAATTAAAGGGAGTGTTCGCGAAAAATGAAAGGGGGTATAGGCTTAATGCGATAAAAGGCGCTTTTGATCGCTACTAATCTTACTTCTATCTGTTGCGTCTATAAGGAGAAAATTGATAAAGACGTCTCATACCGAAGAGCGTAGCGCCCATACAAATTGAGGAAGTTGGAACATATGACTTAGACCATAAAAAATCAAATTAATATCAAACAAATCATTCAGGTATTACAACCTATAGTCATCGATTATCTTTCGCCACATTTGTATATATTTGATATTTCATACTAGTTTTGATTTTGTTTTTTAAAATAATATATAGCTTACAACTTGTTTTCGAACATTCCTGGAAAATATGAAAATGTCGTCTTCATTACCAAAAATCCTTGAAACAGGAATAAATGTTTTTATAAGTAACTCTCAGATCATAACAATAAAAACATATTATGAAAAATCAACTATATATAAATGTGGCGAAAGATAATCGATGACTATAGGTTGTAATATCTGAATGATTTGTTTGAAATTAAATTGATTTTTTTACGGTCTAAATCGTTTGTCAATTTTCTCAATTTGTATGGACACCATGTTATTCGGTATGAGACGTCTTTAACAATTTTCTCCTTATAGACAGACGTAACAGATAGAAGTAAGATTAGTAGCGATCAAAAGCGCTTTTTTATCGCATTAAGCCTATACTCCCTTTCATTTTTCGCGAACACTCCCTTTAAGTATTTTCAAATTTCATTTATAAAAGCACATCATGCTTATTCAATATCATTTTTGGTCATATTTGATTTTCATTATTAGTGGGACACACTGGATATGCATAATAATATTAATAACAATATGAATTAACTCTGATCCTTTTAAGTTCATACATGCAATTCTATGTAAACATTGGTTTACCAAAATGGATGAGACATTAAAACTTTTAAATCGCAAGGGTTGATGAAAGTTAGAAATTAACATACAATACAGAAATTAGTTTCCGCATTCGAAGTCAATTATTTAAAAATCTCATCAATTATGGGAAACCCTGTAAATTCTACCTGGTTTTAAAATGTTACAGTAAATCCCCAGTTAGTATTGTTAATCTGTGTTAGTTGGGTTAATCTGGTCTACTGCTAAATATATCTCTGGATCTACATTCTTGTCAGATTCAGATGGTTTATCATTATCATGCTCTTTATCATCTTTCACATTTATCAACACTTCACGAGAATTGGTTGATGGGTTGTCGCATATGTCTTTCAGAAGTGTGTCAGCAGTTCCTTGTACATGAGATACTAATTGGCATGTACCAAGGTCTGTATTCTGTACATGAGGGTCCAGTAGGTATGTCCCAGCTGTGGTTTGATTATTGTATTTATTTTTTGTTCTCGCTGCAGGGCTCGGCCCTCCTACTCTCAACTTTGCAGAACTTAACAACCATAAACAATTCATTGAACTTTAATTTCTAATCAAAATAAACATTTAATTAACTGTTCTAAAATAAACTTTGTGTCCAATAAACGTCAAAACGGCTGTTCTAATTAATTTTTGTGGTCCCTCACAAGTTACATGACCCCAGGGAAAGTGTATACTGTATAGCCGGTCAGAATTTTAAAAAAAAATGGCTCAAATAATTTCTGCTAAATAAATTGTCTAAATCCGGTACGAAAACAAGAAAATCTGCGAAAATGTTCATTATTATTTTTTCAAAATGTGCGAACAACTTTTAGATAGTTGATAAACAAAACAACACAATTTATTGTCAGTAAAGCATAGTCTAGTTATAATACAAAAAAGATTAACAAACAAAAACAAAAAAGTAAATTATGAATTGTCATGGAAACCTGAATATTTTCTCATGCGTATTCATTGCAACAGTTGAACATAAATTCTTCATGGAAAATTTGATAATTTTTAAAATTTTCTGAATCTTTACAAACCCCAACTAATGACTGAGATTAATATTTTTAAAGGATTTAAATTTTAATTTAGGAGAAAGTGACCAAAAACAGATAAAATATAAAAACTTTCAAAAACTCCCCAGTATGCACCATGCATGTACCATGAATTTTGTAACCATACACCTTAAATGCAACAAAACTGAATATCAAATTTATCAATGTGTTAACCTCATGGCTGTCTTTTTGCTTGTGTATACCAATATGCCGTGGACCACTGGTATTCTTGTGAACATCTGTATGTCTATGTACTGTACATGGTTCCCTGTACCCTAAACCAGAGGTTGTGAAGCTACAACAATTAATGATATTATTCACATGCAGTGGCTACTTGCACCCATGGTTTTTTATTAAGGTTAGATACGCTGGCTGCGCTCCAATGTACAGAAAATGTCGTCTTCATAGCAATGGACACATACGATCCTCATCTGACGTAACTGCTTATTGGCGGAAGATGAAGTGACAGCATTGTTGGTGAGAGAGGGGGGGGGGATGGCTTTTCTCACATTTTACTACTGACACTTCATTATAAATTTAGGATGTTTGTTATTTTAATTGTATTTAGAATCCTTGGTTGCAACAATTTTTCATGAATGGAAGGATACAAAGAAATTGGAAGTGGTTAGAAATGTTAAGATGTTATTACACAATTAAACTGTTAAATAGTTAGTCTTCTAGAATGTTTGAAATCCCCAAAAATAGACCAATTAGAAAAATTGTGCACAGTGGGTTGTTGTTAGAAAAAAGCTTGATGATAAGTTAAATTTTTCATAAAAAGGTTTAACTGATGGATTTGTAATACAGCCCACTAAGCAATCTTAAATTTGTAATAATTGTAAGAACAAGTTTGGTGGCTTCCTTCTACTTGATTTTTGAATAGTTTTCTTGGTTTGTTATTAAAGACATCACAGCCCTTTCGGCTTTTAATTTTTACTTTAAAAGTCAAGAAAATACTTCACCAAGTCACGATTTAAGTAATACTTTTTAATTTGGGCATGCATCTTTTGTAATAAAAAGAATGATGCATGATGTACAGAATAGACTTTTAAAATATGATAAATCAAAATAAGCTTGAATCTAAAAAAAACAAGCATTAAAAAATGTCCATTCCTGCTTTGTGCCTTGGGCTGTTAATCGTCTTTATTTTAATGGTAAAACTTCCAACATTTAAAAAAATATTCTGTTAAAGTTGTATTTGTACTCTGTACCTATTATTCTGGGCATATCACAGATTTCGCAGGTATCCAGAGAAGGGTGGTTTTTAAAGGTGCACTGGGAGCAGGACCATTCCATCTCCTTCTCATCCATCCTCTCCTCATCCTTCTCCGTCCCATCCAGCTCATCCATTCGCACAATCTTATCCATCTTCTCATCTTTAAACAAAAAAGTAATTTGACGTAATATTAAGTGTAATTACAAACTGTTAATGAGAGTGTCAACAAAGTCACAAGTTTAAATGAAAACTCTTAATTTGAGTGTTAATGTAATCTCAAGTTCAATAGAAAGTAATTTCTAGCATAATCTTTATAAAAGTTCCAAAATTTTCCAAAATATAAATTTCTTCCTGAAAAAGCCATGGCGCAAGGTTTACAGGTAAGTCGATGATGGGATTTTATCAACGGTTGATAACTTGAAAACTTGGTCAAGGTTGATATTGTGTATATTAAACTTTTTGTTAAATATAACTTCTGGCGTAAATTCAAGTTTATATCTATTATTTAAAATCAAGTTGCACGCCAGATTCACAACAGTATCCATATTAAACCTTCGTCTGAGTAAAAAAATAGAATTATCAAATTATGGGGGTCAAAAAAAAAATTACAATCAATCAATAACAATACAATAAATGACAAAAGTTACTGAACTAATTCATATCAGTCTCTACGAGTTCAATTCATAGAATCGATTTAAAATTTTTCTACATTGTTCTACTCATTCCAAACTATCCATCCACTGTGTACTTCTCATTCAAAACTATCCATCCCCTTTGTTTTAATTTTTAAAGTTACCGCTATAATTGGCTGGGATTTCAGAGATATTCTTTTCCATCTTAACTCTAACTCATAAACCTTAAAAAAAGAGTTTTGATTGGTTAAATTTTGTTCCGATTTGATCGATCTTACTTATTTGAAAACCGATCAACATTCACACGTATGTCTGAATCCTATTTCCTTTTGTCTGTCCTATCATAACTCTTGAACCCCTGGACCGATTTGCTTCAAATTTTGATTTGGGAACTCGGGAGGGCTACGGGAATGTTCGTAGCTTTGTTTTGAGATTCTAAGTTGAGTGGGTCGACTTTTATCAAGCTAAAATCGTAATTTACGACAAAGGTTGGGGAAACGGCGGGAGTAACTATGAGTAATAAAGCTGTTAGTTTTATTTTAACTTGCTACTTTTTAGAAAACGAATCGAGGATTTTTGATGAAGTATTTCAACTAAATTTTCATTTTACTCTTGTTGTCACGTTATATAGTGTCACGTGGGACGTGAGATATTCTCCAGGTACTGTGTTTATGTCTTAGTCAACAAATTTAAAAAATATCTAATTATATTAAATAGATTCGTTTAATTTTTAAACACTAATCTTTACATATATGAATATGCGATGGATAGAAGTTAATTTATTCGTGTTTTTAAATTCTTTGAAAAGAAGACGACATTCGAGACGAATATAGTTAACATATCTTCTTGTATTGCTACATTTAAGAAACTAATTTAACTAAATGTTTACGTTTAGCAGATATTGATCAATGCATCCATAATTTGATATTGTGGGAGAGAGTGTCCACATCATCAAGAAGTGCCCTTCTCAGGGGCGGATATAAGGATTCTGTAGGGGGGGGTAAAAAATTTTAATTTGGCGCGCGAAGCGCGCCGGAATTTTTTTTACCCCCCCCTAGAAATTTTTTTACCCCCCCCTAGAAAAATATCATGATGTATATCAAATTATTGGTTTTAATTGGGTTTGATTTGCATTTTCCACTCATTTCTGGGATTTACAAACTCAATCTAATAAAGGCTTCATTACATACCTTTCAGCTT